AGGTTCCAAACAAACACAATGGATGAAGGCAGAGTCAGGGGAAGAGGAATTTGATGCAGAGGAGGGAGATAAGATAAGATAAGATAACCTTTATTAGTCCCACACGTGGGAAATTTGTTTTGAGAAGAGCTGGCCCTGGAAGAAGAGGAGCAGGCCAATGAGGAAGAGGAGTTCAAATGAGAGGAGGAAGAGGAGCGACCAACGAGGAAGAGGAGAAGGCCAACATGGGAGAGGAGAAGGTCCAGGAGGGAGAGCAAGACAACCTCGCACCATCATTACGGACGAGATGCGAGCAACAGCTCAGCGACATGATGCCGCACAGTGATTGTGGTGTGTGTGTGGTGTGAATAACGTAAATAAAAAAACTTCACACCCTGTTCATGTTTTCAAGATTACTGTTGTGTGCAATAGATTCTGTTTTTGCATTGAGTTGTGTTACAGTAGTGTACGTACATGCAGGATTTCCTATAGATTTATACTACTCATATGAAACTCACAAATCTAAATGCCTAATCCTCTGCAGAGATCTACGACGATCCGTTACTGTATAGTTTCTAAAAATATGCATTGGCAGTTATGAAACAAAGAACCTTCTCACAAATTGAGCATTGTGTTTTCAATTGTTTTGCTGTAGTGTGTAATGCTGTGTATAGTGTTTACAGTTTTGACAGCTTCGAGCTGCTCTCTTGGTGTGGGAGTTTGAGTTTTGCAGTGGGAAGGTGTGGTTGTGTTTATGTAGCTTTAGAGAAGGGTGTTGTGTTTAGACATTGGGGGACCTGGTGGTAACGTTTGTGAAATGTGTTTTAGCATTTGAGAAAAACTGTAATGGGCCATTTGAAGAAGAACTTCTCTCTAAATGTTACTGCAGACATGAAAAATGACAATAAACAAGATGCTCTTCTGTTTCAAATACGTGGATCAGACGTGGCAGTCGATCAGGTCTGGTTGGTATTGCATCATGTACTTCTAGAGCACCTCCTAAGCTTCAGTGTCCTTAATCAAGAGCTTAAACTGTTTTAATAACACACAGTTATTTAAAATGTTATGGCCAAACATTCGGTCACTACCTGAATATTTCTTTAACCTTGCAGTGTTCGGTGGAATGTGTATCAAAACAGGAATGAACGCAGAAAAGAAAGTAAAAGTCTGCGTTACGGAGCCTTTGCACCTTGCAGACATGCTGCAGACGATTGCACAACCACAACGACAAACAAAAGAAACGGAACAGGCAGACTCTACGTTTTCAGAGCAAGTTTAACACCTGGAATTTGACACCCTGTGTTGTTGCCCAGCGCAAAGAAGCAATAACTGAGAGGCCTGACAACAATTAAGCTGACAGGGCGTGTTTAAAAGGAACCAGAATTTGTATGGTCAGGTGACACAAGAGCCAGAGGTGTAATGTGTTACAAGCCTGGACTGTCTTCACATTTAGTTCAAGAAGTGAACACAACAGAAGCACAAGCTGACTTTAACTAATTTCTTGACAAATTAGTTCCTGAAGCACTATTCAGAAAAAAGAAAGAAAGAAAAGAAAACAGCCAGTCCATGTAAGCAATTCTGTCTCTTAGATAAGAGAAAGGAATCCACACTTACCGCGGTATGGCCTCTGGCAGATGTTGTCTTGGGATTCTCCTCTTACCCAAGTGTCATTAGTTTCCCGACTGAGCGCTACTTTGCCGTTGTTGACCGCCAGGCCCATCTGATAAACAGTGTAAACAACTCCATCCAAACAGCTCCACCATAGCAGGATGTTGGAGCCACAGTCGAACATAGTCAACATCTTGGAATTGACGTCCAGCGCCATGCAGAGCGATGTTCCCACATGGAAGAGCCGTTGACCTGAACCCCACTTCCACTGTTGGGACTTGCTGTTTGAGTTGCAGGTGGCGAGGCTCAGGTTTGCTGAACCCCATGCACTCAGGCATTTCCCTGTGCTCTGGTGCTGAATGGTGAAAGCATCCTCATCTGTGATGACAGGACAGAAAACACAAGTTTAAAGGGGACTTATTACGCTTAGCTTTGCACTTTTAATCCCCAGACGGTGCTAGAGTAGCTTGGCATGAGCCACAGTTCAAAAATAATCATCATTTATCTTCCTCTGAGTTCATTCCACTTCTCAAGCAATCCATTTCAACGCCCCCTCAACTCCCTTTAAGGCAGCCTTGCTCTGATTGGCTGCCCCTCATCGCTACTGTGTTCCCACACTGTCACCAGTTCTCAGACATAATTAAAGTGAAGATGTTTGCAGCTCTTTATCCTCATTTTTGAACTTAATTCTAGAGTAGCTTTGCACGACTCAGCACAAAATAAAACCTGAAGCCTCTCTAAGCCAACTTTATTCTGATTGGCTGACACTTGTAAAAAAAAAAAAAGGTCCGGAAAGCACCTTTAACGAGTTGGATTCCATTCCTTGCATGGAAGTTAACTTACATGTTCACTGTGTCTCACTAAATTTTAACAGCTGTGACAAAAACTTTATTATTTATTCATTTATTTAATCGGGACGTCCCTCGAGATTAACATCTCTTTTTCAAAGGAGACCAAGCCTTTGAACCAGTCTGAAGCGTGACACTTTAGCTCACAGGTTTTAATTGCACACAGGCAGACCTCACCGTTTCAAACTTTGACCTTGTTTCCATGATTAATGTGGGCACGCACCACTTAGAGATCTGAGACTGACACATAAAAAAATGCTATTTAAAAAAATATATATATGCAGTGTAAATGCATACCAATACAGCTCTATTAGAGTGAAACTACTCGTTTAAATGAATACATATTAAATATATATACACAAATATCCCCGCACCGAGAATTATTCATTTGACTTCATAAAAGAGTTTCATATTTATGCTGAGAGAGGGGCACTATAAAAGAGGACAGTAGGCGGGGACAAGGTGATCTGGGTAAATGTTTACAGGCTGAAGCTAAAGAACAACTGAGCAGGAATACTATCAGAGTACAGTTTCGACTTGGTGTCACGGCAGTAATATGCCGATATTTTGGCTCTACGGAGCTGCTCGGGAGGGAGGGAAGGATGAGTTAGCGATTTCTTTGACCTGTCAGACATAACACTGGGGGGCAAGAAAACAACAAAAAACAAAACAAGCAAACAAAGTAAAAATAATAATAATAAACAAGCATTCATCTAGATAAGCAAACGCCGAGTTTGTATCTCAATCCAAAATCTTGTCAGTTAAAAGTGTTTCGCATCCTAAAAATTAGGTTCGCGCTTTTATGGGAGAAGTTTTTGCTCATTTGCGCCAAGTGAGGAATGAAGACGCGACTTTAATGAGAGTGTGGCAAGTGAACAGAAATGAAAGCAAAGTGTCGGATCTACTCACCTAAACCTGCAGCTGGTGAACCAGTTCCCCAGTGAACAGCTGCCTCCAACAATATCAACAAACAAAGACAAAGAGGCGCTCTGGATAGACTCGGCATGGTCACGACCGAGTCTTTCTGTTATAATCATAAAGCCTCCTCTGAGCGTGGCGCACTTAGTTTAGGCCGGTTGATAACTGAGCTCCAAAGCGAAAGTGATCGCCGACGCCACCCAGTTCTCCGAGTTGAAAGTCTTGTCATCCACTGAGTCCAAGTCAATTTAGCAACAAACTTCCGCTTAACGAATAAAACAACAGCAACGAGAAACCTTTCAGAGGGAGCGTTATGAAATAAACAGCTGCTACGCACGATGGATCAGACTAGCAGACACTACAGGCGCATGCAGAAGGACTCTAATAGAAGTCAAAATTATATATTAAATCTATATGTAAAACCACATCCACATAAAATAAAATATTACAGCTCAGGCCCATGTTTATGCAATAATTATGCAATTTACATAAATATAAAAAGGGGTATTTCCAACATGGAAAGAAATGAAACCAAGTCCATTATAAAGTGAAACCCCAAGTCAAATTTGAATTTTATTTTATTTTTTTTTACCAAAATCAGTATTATCAGATACAATTAAAAAAATATTAGAACACATTTACATTTAAAAACATATCAAATTACGAGTTTAAAAATGATATTAGGCTATCCCATTTGAGAAACTTTAAATAAAAAATAAAAATAGGACAAAGGAGTAAAACATGTTCCAGAATTATGTTAGAAAGTTAAATACTTAGCCAAAAATCGGATATTTTTAAATTACGGTGTTGTAAAAAAAAAAAAAAAACCTAAAGAAAAAAGTTGACGTAGTCAACCGTTAAATTTTAATTTGGAAGGTGGTGACGTTCTTCTTCCGGTTTCGCCCTCAAGTACCGTGAACTTTCTGGTTATTTTCTGGCGTCTTCCTTTCACATACCCTGCCCAGAAAGGTATTTCGCACCCACTCGGTTGTTTCCCTGAATAATCGGGCTTTCGGGTGTTTTTTCATCTACTATGAAAGTCCCGTGACAGCTAACAGCTGATCACCTGTCCTTTCATTTCTGTTTATTCTCTATTATTTCACCAGCTTCGTTACCGATAATTACTGCACACACACCGAGACGTTTGTGCGTTTTACAGAGATCAACAAAACACCGGGTGATTATTAAATTATTACTTAAAGGGCACCATGTCAGGAAAAAAGTTTGCCCTCAGGACAGTGAAGAAATTTATCAAGAAATTGTTTCAGGGTGAGATCATAAAACATAACAGATAACATTCAAGGGAAACCGATAGGCACGAATGGTTTCCTTTGATAATAAAAAAGGACAATGACCTTTATGGCCCTACATCATTACTATATCAATAACATTATTCCCCAGGCAGTCTGTAAGGACTCTGATCTCTGTCCCTCACGTCAATCTAAGTTTTTAGATTTCTTTCTGGTAAAAATAGTAATGCCCAAAAGACAAAACATAGTTAAATACGAGATGCACAACCTCACTGTGGTTTCTGCTGGCATCTTTTAAGTTGGCCGTCTAAGAGGAAGTGTGGGTTTAAGGTGATGAAGCAAAGAAAATAACACCAGGCAAATTGAAAGTACAGTAAGTAATAATGAAACTAACAGAAACCATTCAACCAAATTCGATTTATTAAAACACAAATAAAACTGTGCAAAACATATATCCCTCTGTGTTCTTTTCGTCAGCAGCCAGAACCAAGCAAATCCATTCAGTCCCAGTACTTATTTGGTCATGACCAACATACAGCACGTACACATGAGAGAATAAAAAAATGACAAAATAAGTAATACTGACAAAATACTGTACCATGCATACAGACCCATCAACAGAAGTCTGAATGAACAAAGCATCATTGTAAAGAATATTTTATCATGAATCGTACTCATGCTTGACAATGAAAGTGACTTTTTGCCCTGAAAAGAAGCCCAAGAGCATGTCTTAAATTATTCTCCTTAACACTGTTTACAAATCATAACAGAATAAATCCCGGATGACATCAAACGGAACCTCTTCAAACAAGTCCAAAGCTCTTTAGCGTCCCTTCTTGGTCTGTGTGATCTCTTAGTCCGTGGCCTTCAAGTGTCTTTGCAAGTGTTTGGTGACCTAAATGGTGCGAGTAAATGAAAACTAGAGACGCGCTCGAAACTGCTTGCCGTCATCATCTCACCACTGTCCTGAGGAGTCAGCATCACAGTTTTACAGTGCAGCGCGGCATCCGTAGCTGACGGTGACAAGGTGACGGAGCACGAGAGGACAGCAGAGGCTTCGAGGAAGAAACAAGTCAACGCGTGCTACTCTCCCGAGGGAGGCTCCAGGTCTGCGATGAGAACGTTTCCATCTGACTCCGTAGCCTGCGAGTCCGTTTGCCTGAAATAAGCGCTGCCGAGCGTGGGGAGCCGCTGGAAACGTCCGGAGCTCCTCTTGTACAGAAACCACATTACCCCTGCCAGCAGGATAAAGATTAGCAACGCTGCCAGCACAGCAGCGGGGATGACACCGTGATGCAAACCTGAAACGCACAACAGCAGCTCTTATGTAGTCGTGCTCTAAATTTAATGTGTGAACCTCTTATTAAATAGCATGCAAAGGGCTTAAACACTGCAGCAGGAATCGCGGTCAGCATGTTTAGCCACATATTTGAGCTTCCAGCTGAACGCGGCCCTGCAACATGAAACAGCGTCCTCACACATATCAAACCTACGGAAAAACATTCAATGTTTTTAAGTTATTTAGCTTGAAATGCACTTTACCATTCAGCGGTTTCACTTCCACCTCAGTATTTCCATCTGGAAAAGAAATGCACAACCGTTTTGAACTCATCAGGTGAGAATATGCAGCAAAGATCAATAAATAGGAAAAGTTTATGCTTTCAAATGTTATGTTACGGTGCAGCAACAATTATCAAAAGAATCAATATGAACATTTGATTTATTTTAGGTCTCAATAATGATTTCTAACCATTTCTATAGAGCTAAATATATAAAACAAACAGACAAACAAAGAAACCTGTGAATCCACCACAATGAACCAGTAAATACAAGTCAGGTGGGATTTAAGCTTTTATGTTGTTTAGTCCATGGTATGACCTCAACATCCAAATGCTGCTGCAGAAATTGAGAGTCATCAGACCAAGCAACATTTTTCCTATTTTCTAACGTCTAATTTTGGTGAACCTGCGCAAACTGTAGCCTGACAGGGGTGGCACCTGGTGTGGTCTTCTGCTGCTGTAACCCTTTGTTGTGTATTCAGAGATGTGCTTGTAACCTGCGGTTATTTGACTTACTGTTGCCTTTTTATAAGTTTGAACAAGTCTGACTACCCTTCTCTGACCTCTGACATCGACAGAGTTTTTCAGTAAGCAAGAGTCTGTTAGTCTCATAAGAAAGGACTTGGGCCCACTATCAGCTAATGTACATCCCCATGTAAAAGATCTTGGTTTCATTTTCGATTCTACCCTCAAGCTGGACAAACAAATAAACTCAGTTGTTTGTGGCATTTTTTTCCAACTCAGGAGCATTTCTAAACTCAAAAATATCATCTAAAGATCTGGAAACCGTTATCCATGCCTTCATATCATCACGTCTTGACTACTGTAACTCTCTCTATTTAGGCATCTGTCACTCAAGCCTGTTCCGCCTGTGTATATGTATACATGTATTTTATGTTCACGTATGTGTGCTTGTGTGTGTATGTGTACACTTTTGTATATGCATGTGCATATGTACACATACATGTATATTTCTACAAACAAGTATATATAAGAGTCTGCCTGTGTGTGTATATATGGATGTGTTACAATGTTTTTTATCTTATCTATTTTTATTTGATTATATTGTCTCTCTGTTCACTTTCACTTTGGCCGACACTTGATGTCCTTTAAATGTGCTATATAAATAAAGCTGACATGACTTGACAAACCATTTTTGCAGAAACCTGCTGCTTGCTATTTGCTCTTTTTAGGGTCATACTCGCTAAAGCCCAGATCCCAGTAGTTAGTCAGCAGTTTCTGAATTACTCAGATTACTCCATCACCATCACCATCAACCATGACACGTTTGAAGTCACTTAAGTCATCTTTCTTCCTCATTCTGATTCTCAGTTTTGAACTTCAGCACGTCTACTTTCCTATATGTATCAAGTTGCTGCCATGTGACTTTCTAATAAGATATTTAAATTCATATATTAATGAATTAAGTGGGCAGTGAGTGTAATGCTCACAGTTTCTACACATGCCTCCTGTGGTAGTGTTCTTTAGGAGCCACAAATTTAGTTTCCAGGCTGTTTATCTGTTTAGAATGAGCACAACCTTCTGCATAGGGTTATAGCACTTTTAACTATCCTGCCTTCCCTGTTTTGAAGTTTGACTTGTCCACGTTGAGAGCATTAAAATGAGCTGCAAACACAGATGAGCATGGATGGATGGATTTCCAAGAGAAAGCAAAATACTTCACCAAATAGTTGCTTGCTTGATTTGTGTTCAGAAGGAGCTGTTTGGCTGCTCTACTGTTTTCACCCAAAACACTGAAAACTGGCTGTCAGTTGGAAAGCCAAAACACTGAGCTGAAAGACGTAGAAATAATATTTAGAGTTTGATTCAAATCTTCCTCCAGCAGAGTGAACAAGGAGTTTACTTTTATGTCTTGTATCTAATCTTCTCTGTACTCCACTTTTGTTATAACGTCAGTTCTTTTATTTTCTTTGTGACTTAGGTGCAGATTTTGGGAGCCTCTGATTCACGTTACCTGAGATGATTTTGCAGATGAAGCCAAGCCGCTCTGTGCACGGTGTAAAGTGCCAAGTACCATCAACTACCCTAGTAGTGACACAGGAATCCTCAGTCAGCAGCTTGGGGTTTGGACCTTTGTGGGGCCAGTTGGTGTACTCCATTGGTGAACCATCTACCCAGGCCATAGAGTCAGCTAAAAGCAGATTCCTCACTTTAATGACACGACATTGTGTTTATCTGATGGTACAGAAAAGCGACTGACTCTTACTGTCAACATTGAAGTGCATCCCCAACCATAAGGTCTGGGGAAGGAGCCTCGATGACCAGAGCTGCTCCATGATGAAACGGTTCTCTGTCTCATCCTCAATGGTCAGGACATCGGAGGTGTTGACTAGTGGGTGACAAAAACAGAAACATGACACACTCACGATAATTAGTGTTGCAAAGGAATGCGAATATGACGAAAATATTTATTTGCTTTCTTACTAAAAGGCAGACGTTTGAATTTAACCTTCATTTTTCAATGCAATATATGAGCAGATACGCTGAGAATGCTAGCCTGACTTAGAAGAGATAGAAGATAGGAAGCAGGGTGAAACAACAACTTGGCTCTGTCCTGTTATAACTGTGAAGTTGGCAGGCGAGAAGAGACGTCTTAAGGAAAAAATCAAAGAAAATACCAGACAAATAACCCGCCGCAAAAAACAAAACAAAACACAGCTTAACTTTACACTTTACTTTTTATTGCTGTGGGTGGATGTTATCTTTGCAGAGAGACAGGCTCGTTGTTTCATCCTGCTTCTGAACTTCTTGCCAAGTTCAGCTAAGCTTCATTAATCTAGGTGCTGCATGTGGTCCTACAGTGCTGTGAAAAAGTATCTCCCCCTTTTCTGATTTCGAGATTTTTTGTCAAACTCGGATGTTTCAGATAAACAAGCACATTTTAATATTAGAGAAAGATAACCCGAGTAAACACAAAATGCAGTTTTAAAATGATGGCTTCAGTTATTAAGGGAAAAAAGCTCTTCAGATCTATTTGTCCCTATTTGAAAAAGTAGTTCCTCTCCTTGGTGAATCATGAATGAACTGGGATTAACCACACTTAATTTCACTAGCCACACCCAGGCCTGATTATTGGCAGACCTGTTGAATCAAGAAATCACTTAAATAGAACTTGTCTGACAAAGTAAAGCAGGTTAAAGAAACTCAAAAAGCAACACGTCATGTCACAGTCTGAAAAAACAGCTGAGAAATAAGATAATTTACAGCTATCGGTCTGGAAACATTAACAGATAGCAGCTGCGTTGGTAATGACTGTAAGTCATATCCGACGAATAGCTTACCTTTATTCCTGCAGTGCTCTCTTGACTTCTCAAAACTACGTTTCTCCGCCACGGACTCAAAGCTGTAACAACCATGTCCAAATTTCACCCATGTGGAGGGACACGCCATCACATTCGCGGTTAACGGTTTATTGCCTGCGAGGGACAGCAGGAGAAGGCAGGAAATGGGTATTTTCACACATTCCGCTGTGAACTACAGAAACCAAAAGCTGAATAGATGCAATGTCGGGTGCACGGATTTTCACTGAAGTAGCACCGACTTGGCTTGGAGGGACTTTGGGGAACATGGCACAGGGCTCCTGGCAGCAGTGTTTCACAGTCAGCTCGCCGCCAGCCTCCATTCACGTCCATGTACACGCACTCGCCGGTCTCAAAGTCGTCATCGTCGTCGGCTGCGTCCCAGTGCGTGTACACTGTGTCGCTGCCATCCGACCACTGATAATTGATGCCGCTCTGTAAGGAAGCACAGTCACAAAGTGTCAGTCATGACTTAACTTTAAATAAGAAGCAACCAAAATGTTCCTGCAATCAGTGCTGACGCTCGCGTGGATAAACTGTCATTAGCGCTGGCTTTCTACCAGTGTGTCAGGTGTATTTCTTCAGCCCAACACACATTTTATTCTATATTTTACTGCATAAAACCATCTGTTGTGTTATATATTTAAAAATAAAAAAAACTTTATTTAAGGAGATATATGTTTCTGAGGAAGCATCTAGCTACCGGTCAATGTATTACTGACTAAAATTTGCTAATTGAATTTAATTCAATTTCTTTATACAACACCAAATCACAACAACAGGCGCTTGAAGGCGCTTTATACTGTAAGGCAGACCCTACAATAAAAATGAGTAGCTGGCTTATCTTTAACATGAGTAATAAAATACATATAATAGAGGAAATCGGCTCCTCACACACACTGTGTTCATTTGTCTCGACGCTCACGATATTTTACAGTGGCTAGGAAGACTGACGGGAAAACACGTGCCCACGAGATCTCTACATGGGCAACACGCCAACAGAAGTCTCACTAAGGAATAAGACAGTGATATTAACTAGAGTGACGTCCTCTAGTAAACGATAATCAAATGCTTTTGCTTCAACTCCGCTAAATCCCACACACCCAGAAACGTCTAAATATCACTTCCCTTTGTCAGCAGAAGTCCACAGCCTCACCTATCAGGAGTCACAAATCAGATCCCATGACACTGAAACAGGTCCCTTTAATCTGATTGTTCAGACTGTTAGAAAGTAGGAAGTTGGCACACAATGCTATCTCAACTGTGTGACAGCAGTACACTATATATACACCAAGGAGGATATATTTTTTTGGTTGTGTTTACATGTGTGAGGCTCATTCTGGTTGTAAACATAACGGTTTGAAAAGTTTTTAATGCATTCTGCTAAAAGGTATGTAGTGTGGGTTCATGTTAAGAAGCTATTAAAGGTTGGCTTCCATCCACCGAAGTCTTCAAGGCCAACTTAATGATTTATTTAAAACTCACAAAAAGCCTTATAAGTGTGTTGTGTGTAACATATAGAAAGTAGTGCATAAAGATTTAAAATGTCATGTCACACTTGACCTCTGACCTCTCTTTGAGATCAACAGATCAACAGTTTTATAGAGCTATTTGAGACTGTTTCTTACTGCCAATGTGTGTACCGACAACATAGAGGCATACAGAGAATAATGTATGGGGATTCTAAGTATCACGTTTTAGTTTTCCTTCAAATATCATGTCATATTTGATGTCTGATATCACTTTTGCATTTCATGTCTGCCTTTCTTTTAAGCAGATCCCAAGATGCTTTATTTTTTCTGGACTACAAAGATCTTAAAGTACATTTAAAAGGAGCAAGGAAAACAAGGTGAATATATATATGTACAAAAACAAATACTGTTTACTTAAAAGCAAATACTGTCCACTGAGTGAGCTGCCTTGGGAAAGGTTTGCACTCTGAGTGCTTCGTCTGGTGTAATGTCTTCGGTTTATTGCTTATTATTCTGTTAGTGTGCAGCAATAAGGATGTGCTGTCGTTTTGTGTCATCATATGTGGTTGTGCTTTGAGGTTAATACTGATTGTTTCGTTCAGTATTTCATTCTCACTGTTGCTTTCACAACTTGCAACATTTTCATCTGCATGCTTAATGATCTGTAACCTTTTAGTCTTGTCCAAAGAAGTGGACTTTTCTGCAAAAAAACAAAGTGTGCAAGGACAAAGTGAGCTTTGCTGGAAAAGATAATAACATTTAAAAAAAAAAACCCACCAAAAAACAACAAATGTAAGTTAATTGAAGTTAAATCTTTGAAGTTTTCCTTCTTAATAACAATTAAATTGAATGCATTAAATCTGAAGACAGGAGCTTGGTAGAAATGCTTTTTAACAAAAAATGTACTGCATAACTCTGAACTCTTCACACTGAGGTTTTGCAGACACGTGACCACTAACCATGTGGCGCTAACTTGATGTGTGATGTGTGTAGGATCACGTGAAGATGGCCCCAGTCATACAGGCCTAGAGACTGCTGTGTGACAATCTAGTTGCTAGGGAAAAATGTGTATTCCCCAAACAGCTGACAAAAACCTCCTGGTGATTGTGATTTAGCCTTTAGGCTAACCAGGCGCACATAACCAAGAAAGCCGTTTAGGTATCGGAAGCAGTCTGTGTATGTCCAAAAAGAATTTGTTTAAAGATACACACAGTAATATCTCACACAAACACACTACAGAGGTACAGTGAGGCAAAAAAGTATTTAGTCAGCCACCGATTGTGCAAGTTCCCCCACCTAAAATGATGACAGAGGTCAGTAATTTGCACCAGAGGTACACTTCAACTGTGAGAGACAGAATGTGAAAAAAAAATCCATGAATTCACATGGTAGGATTTGTAAAGAATTTATTCGTAAATTAGGGTGGAAAATAAGTATTTGGTCACCTCAAACAAGGAAAATCTCTGGCTCTCACAGACCTGTAACGTCTTCTGTAAGAAGCTTTTCTGTCCCCCACTCGTTACCTGTATGAATGGCACCTGTTTGAACTCATCATCTGTATAAAAGACACCTGTCCACAGCCTCAAACAGTCAGACTCCAAACTCCGCCATGGCCAAGACCAAAGAGCTTTCGAAGGACACCAGGAAAAGTATTGTAGACCTGCACCAGACTGGGAAGAGTGAATCTACAATAGGCAAGCAGCTTGGTGTGAAAAAATCAACTGTGGGAGCAATCATCAGAAAATGGAAGACATACAAGACCACTGATAATCTCCCTCGATCTGGGGCTCCACGCAAGATCTCATCCCGTGGGGTCAAAATGATCATGAGAACGGTGAGCAAAGATCCCAGAACCACACGGGGGGACCTGGTGAATGACCTGCAGAGAGCTGGGACCAAAGTAACAAAGGTCACCATCAATAACACACTACAACGGCAGGGAATCAAATCCCGCAGTGCCAGACGTGTTCCGCTGCTGAAGCCAGTGCATGTCCAGGCCCGTCTGAAGTTTGCCAGAGAGCACATGGATGATACATCAGAGGATTGGGAGAATGTCATGTGGTCAGATGAAACCAAAGTAGAACTTTTTGGTATAAACTCAACTCGTCGTGTTTGGAGGAAGAAGAATACTGAGTTGCATCCCAAGAACACCATACCTACTGTGAAGCATGGGGGTGGAAACATCATGCTATGGGGCTGTTTTTCTGCCAAGGGGACAGGACGACTGATCCATGTTAAGGACAGAATGAATGGGGCCATGTATCGTGAGATTTTGAGCTAAAACCTCCTTCCATCAGTGAGAACTTTGAAGATGAAACGAGGCTGGGTCTTCCAACATGACAATGATCCAAAACACACCGCCCGGGCAACAAAGGAGTGGCTCCGTAAGAAGCATTTGAAAGTCCTGGAGTGGCCTAGCCAGTCTCCAGACCTCAACCCCATAGAAAATCTGTGGCGGAGTTGAAAGTCCGTGTTGCTCGGCCCCAAAACATCACTGCTCTCGAGAAGATCTGCATGGAGGAATGGGCCAAAATACCAGCTACTGTGTGTGCAAACCTGGTAAAGACCTATAGTAAACGTTTGACCTCTGTTATTGCCAACAAAGGTTATGTTACAAAGTATTGAGTTGTATTTGTGTTATTGACCAAATGCTTATTTTCCACCCTGATTTACGAATAAATTCTTTACAAATCCTACCATGTGGATTCATGGATTTTTTTTTCACATTCTGTCTCTCACAGTTGAAGTGTACCTCTGGTGCAAATTACTGACCTCTGTCATCATTTTAGGTGGGGGAACTTGCACAATCAGTGGCTGACTAAATACTTTTTTGCCCCACTGTATACAGTACATAACAGATAAGAGGATAGAAGGTACATACGTCTACACTGTACAGTCCAATCCAGTGCGGCGCTCCCAATCTATTGACAAGGAAAGTAAGGAAAGCCTGGTGGTAGGCATCTGTAATGCTCACAAGGTCAGAATCATGGCCTTTGCACTTATTCATCGCGTCGTACCAGCTCAGGTTGCCAGTCACAACCTTGTAGTTGCGGTTCCTGTACTCAATAATTTCTGGGAGAAGGTGGTGATACGAGTGGGTGGGGCGTTTGGATGGATCTGTGACAAGAAAGCAGGGAGGAGTGTGGGGAGAACTCAAGGTTCAGCATGATGGATTAGTTCATACACAGCTAATGGATCGCTAATTAGCTTTGCCATCCATCCATCCATCCATCCATCCATCCAAACCTTCAGAGCAAAAAACCAAAAACCAAAGATAGAGAACCTGAGGGAGCCTTACCTTGAGGTTTCTGACATACAAAGCCATACCCGCTCTCGCTGCACTTCTCGTCGTACCACTTCCCCGTCAGGTGGAAGTTGTGGTTGTTGGACAGGACAGTACACAGAGGCTCATCAGTATATCCTTGGAGCCACGTGTCTTCCTGAGAACATAAAGAACCACTACTAAAGAACTACTGACAATAGCACATTTATTAGCATGTGTCACCTCTGTTCACGACAAGCTCGTTTCAGGAACAATGAATCACTACCTCCCAGTTGACTGCCCCAGAATCACCTGATTTTCTTTAATACGATAACTTTAGTATATTTAATAAAGTCAAACAAAATTTTAGACTTAAACTATGAAAATGTCACGACTTGAGCCCAAAAACTGCAATCAAATCAACTTTATTCATACTCCAAGTGTCTAAAGCCAAAGTAATGAGATGAACGAATACATTTTGCACAGCTTTAATGAATTATTCTTTTTTTTGTATTCTTCTTCTGGCTGCTCCCTTTAGGGCTGCCATCATCTCACTCTTTCCCCTCATCCTCCTCTATCAGACCAGCAGTCTACACGTCTTCTTTCACTATTACTCTTCTCTGTGGTTTTCCTCCTTTCCTAATTGGCTGGCAGCTCCATATTCAGCATCCTTTCTCCGCTATCCTTCCTCTGCACATGCCCAAATCATCTGTGCCTTCCTTCAAATCTCTGCACTGGAAGGGCCAGTTTTACAGCAGTGGGAGGTGCTATTTCTCCTTATCTAATATAAAATGACTGTAACTTGGATGTACTAAGCTCTCACAGGACAAAAAGCAAGGTACTTCCTACATATTCACACAGTCACAAGCTCATATATTAAGAATATGCTAGCAGTTCTAGCAGTTAATAAAGTGAACTTCAGGTATTTTCTACAGCTTACATTGAGAGGGTTCTTTGGTTCTACTGGAGACCAGTTGGTGTAGCTGACTGGCCTCCCATTGGTCCATTTCATGGTGTCCTCATCTCTCAACCCAATCCACACACCTACAGCGCTTCCCTGGAGAAACATGGTGATGAAGGCTACAGAAATGATGACATGACAGGAAAAAAAGTGGAAATAAAGCTGTTTGTCTTCTCAGGCAGTGATTGTGCAGCGAATCATTGACGCATGGTTGTGCAGTTCACTAAGACTCTACCTTGTTCAATCTCATCTTCTATGGCAACTAGCGAGCCTTGAAAAGAAGAGCAGATGGACTGGGCATCTTTCCAACTCTTTCCCTCTTTTGGACTGGTAGGGAGGTGAAGCAGGAGACACTGCCAACACACACAACCACACACACAAAACATGAATGCAAATCCCAGATCACTGACAGGACTGTTGTTTGGAGTGTGCACGACTCAAAGATACAGAAGTCAAAGCATGTAGGAGGGAGGAGGTAATGCAACCACAATGTTACTGGTTAACAAAAAGGGAAAGTTTCAGCAACAAGAGCTCTGCTTCTTGATTCAATTTGAGAGAAATCTGGTCGCGTTACACGAGGAAATGACAGCGTCTCTGTTGTATTTTGAAAGCAGTTAAGGTTTCTCTGACTAAGGAGTTCAAGCCCCATTAACTATGAACCAAAAGGTTGAGTCTCTTTGTTATTATCGTGTTTCTCTCCCTTCTAGTACTGTGCAAAAGTCTTAAGCCTCTCTCACCTCTCATTTTTTTGGAGTTTTCGAGGAAAGTAGGAAATAATTGCAGCAATTTTTTAAATGCATAAACATACATGGAATTATAGCATATAAGGCAAAAAAAATAAGAAAGGCAACAATTAGATACTTTCCAGATGGCATTAGATGTTGGATCAAACTCCAACGCTACTTTTCTGCCTTCATAATTGCATTAATTTTGACAACATTCCCAACATCCCTGTCTGAAATCCAGTCCAGTCTCCACCGTGTTTTACAGATGCCACCAGATGTTACAGATGTTGTACCTCTCCTGATCTTCTGTGTAAACACTGAAATTTGGATTCACTTCATCAGTCCAGTTCTTGTGTAATCTGGCATACCTCAGCCTTTTCTCCATGTTTCCCTTCCTTAGGAATGGCTTCTTGACAGCCACCCTTCCACTGATAACATTTTTGCTGAAGCTTCAGTGAAAAGTAGATGGATGAACTGAAGGGTCAGATGCATCTCTCAGATCCTGTGTCAAGTCTTTACCAGAATTTTTCCTATTGCATTTATTTCAAAATAATCGTTTCGATGATGCCAAAAAATCCACAATTTAAACAATCATTCATCATCGATTGATATTGCTTCATGTGAGCATGTGCTGGTTCTTGTGAGGTTGATGCAGCTCGAGTGCTGTCAGGGTGGGGGGTGGGGGGAAGCTGCTCTTTAAAAACACAACAGTCCAGAAACAGTGAATGGAAACACAAACATCCTACTTTAAACCCAAATGCAGCTGGGAATTTAGAGGAAGCACAGACGGTAAAATGAGCCACTTTTGCGCAGTTTGCTCTTCGTAATAATAATGTGGTAGCAGTGTCGAGTAGTGTGCAATACACAGATTGTCAACAGATGCAAACATTTTATTTCCTACACACCTAACACAGTTTATTAATAAGATATACTGTACATATTACTTAACAGTGAACAGTTACAGATTGCTGAGGTGACTGAACTGGCAGATTGCCCGGTTCCTCTGTGATTAGGGCGGTGACAGCAGGTTTGCTTTGAGAGGCAGTAACTGCCAAAGCAGATGATTTACTGAAAAGAGCGACTATTATTTCCTGCCTTTCATGTTCGCTGTAGCGGTTTTTACTCGGTGTTCGAGGGTGTTTAGGCTACTTGTGGGAAATACTTGCACACATTTGGTTTTGGTATCCCTGCCAGCATCTGTGAGCTCTTCTAGTAAACGAAATGCATTTGTAAAGAAGTGGCTAAAGTGCAGCTGCAGGTTTTTGGGAAGTTATCTTGCAAGTATTCACCTTCTCACCTTTGTGAAAAGGGGAAAGCTGTGAAAGGCCATGGGTGTCAAACATTAGGCCCGGGGGGTCAGAATCGGCCAATACTCCAACCCAACCCACTGGACATCTTTGGGAAATGTGAAGGAGGGAAAAGACTTTGGACATTTAACTGTATTTTCATAAATCTATATTTGAATATAATCTATCCACAATAGATATTTCTGGGGGTTTTTTTTACAATGTGTCCACAGTACAATAAATAAATAAAATAGAAAAGTTTTGTGAATTAACAAAAACTTCCAGCTTTATAATAACAGAAGAGTCTGGGCAATGAGCTACCAGAAGTTTTTTCTGTAATTTTAAATATTTATTTTAAGAATTGAAGCCCTGACAGTCATGCTGACAGATTGCTTTGGTTGCTTTTTTAAACATGTGGTTAAACTGTTGAAATTGCACTTCTTTTTCTTATACTGACCTATTGCAGGGATTAAATATGTAGCTAAAGTTATTTATACTGACAGAAAGGGGATTTTTACTGGTCCGGCCCACTTAAGATCATAGCCCGCTGTGTGTGGTCCCTCATATAAATGGCTCTGATATCCTCGCATTAGGCAATCGCTGTGTGCAAGTTTGATTCAGTCCTGACCAGCATGAGGAGCAGCAATTGACTGTGGCATAAATTCATCTGGTGGGATAAACTAAAAATTACAATGTTGCACGTGAAGATATAATGTATTTTAGGTATGACACTGCACAAAAGTATTATAGATATATATCTAAAATTTTAGTTGCTGACAACAGCATTAATAAAAGCGCACATATGCACACATTATGAGCTGCTGCTATTAAAGATATGCCAACTTAACAAGCTTAGAGAGCTGCAGTGTCCTTGCACGAATCACCAGATTAGGAGAGTTACCACAGACTAATGCAAATGTCTCATTATCTGTATTTGAATATATGCGTGCATGTGTGTGAACAAGTGTTTATAAGGAGCTTGGAAAGAAAAGCGTCTGGACTTCTTTAAGTTGCTTGAAGACGTTTCACCTCTCATCTGAGAAGCTTCTTCAGTTCTAAGGTCAAATGGTGGAGAGTCCCAGATTTCAGCCAGGGTTTCGGGTGAGCTCATTGTGAAACCTGGCCCCACCCTATCATGTGATTTCCTGAGGTCAGATGGCCCAGGGTGTGAGTGGGTGTTAAGGCGTCTGGGAAGGGATCTCAAAACTGGATTATAGATGGCAGAGAGTTGGTGTCGTAAACCACCGCCTCTGTTCAAAGATGGTCGCTCACAGTGGACATAGATGGCTTCTTTCACTCCTCTTTCAAACCATCTGTCCTCTCTGTCCAAAATGTGAACACTGGCATCCTCGAAAGAGTGACCTTTGTCCTTTAGATGCAGATGAACTGCTGAGTCTTGTCCTGTGGAGGTGGCTCTTCTGTGTTGTGCCATGCGCTTGTGAAGTGGCTGTTTGGTCTCTCCAATGTAGAGGTCTGAGCATTCCTCGCTGCACTGTACAGCATACACCACATTGTTAAGTTTGTGTTTTGGCGTTTTGTCTTTTGGGTGAACCAGTTTTTGTCTGAGCGTGTTGCTAACGCCCACTCACGCCCTGGGCAATCTGACCTCAGGAAATCACATGATAGTGTGGGGCCAGGTTTCACAATGAGCTCACCCGACACCATGGCTGATTGTGACCCTGTTAGAGTTTGTATTGTTGATTGTTATTTATGCTTAGAAATATTTAACCATAGATGCTTAGAGGTGTATAATCAATTGTGTAGTGATAAGTTGTGTGATCTTTAACAGGCTACAGAGGCTTGGTGTGCATTCCACACTAGAATGCACACCTACATCCTGGGAGCACGGGAAGAGGTCGCATCTTGTTTTAATTGTTTTATGGTAGGATTAACGTAGCTACGTCTGTTCTAGTCTAAGTGCTTTTCTGTTTAGATGAACTGCTGGACTTCCTCACCGGGGGGGGTCTAGTCTACCCTCTTCCTGACCAAGGATGTTTGACCCTTTGATCAGCAACACACACACACACACACACACACACACACACACACACACACACACACACACACACACACACACACACAGGCAAGGTACTCTTTGTTTGTATGTAGACGTCGTATGTTAATGAACCTATGCATATTCATGTAACCTCAATAAAAGGACAGTGTTACGGGAGGACGGACGAGAGCAACTGGGGTCAAGCAAAGGGACGGCGCTCTGTCCGGTCTCTCCCGTGCACGAGTAACATGAAGAACTTTGCCTATTTGTGTCTTGCTTAGCAGTGTAATTATATTGTCTTCAACGTTCCAGCGGATGGGTTCAAGCTACAAACCTATCAGACCCACACCCGTTTTCACACCTTGGCTCATGTGATTAGGTAGAGGATCATCAGGGGATCCTTTGTCCCTCTTTGGGGGGTCACTCCCACTGGGTTTAAATCTGGGACTCTCCACCATTTGACCTTAGAACTGAAGAAGCTTCTCAGATGAGAAGGGAAACGTCTTCAAGCAACTTAAAGAAGTCCAGACGCTTTTCTTTCCAAGCTCCTTAGACTACGATGACCTGGATGACTGAGAACCTTCATAGACAACAAGCGTTTATCTGAACCTTGTGTCCAAAGTATAGCCATTTCTCCGGGCATCGTCCAATGTAGTGCGGTTCCCGGGGGGTCTCCACCACAGATACAGTTTCTCTCTTGCACACGTATCCATGGAGATCACTGCATCTGCTCAGTGCCCACTTCCCTGCAACGTGCAGAGCAGATCTCAGCGCTGGCATAGGGTAATACACGCAAACGAGGGCGAGCGTTTCCATGTGCACGCGCTTACCTGACGAAGAAGACATGGTGACACACGCCCTTCTTCTCCGAAGATCATCGCCAACAGCCACTTCATCAAATTTCTGAAAGTCTACTGTAGTCTTGTCACTCCACCTGCAAATGAATACATGAAAAAAAAATTGTTAATGAGGATTGTTACACGCCTGAGTGCTCTCACCTTAATAACCCCATTTTTCATTGGCACTAACCTCCACCTCATTACCTGTGACTGACAGGGTTTCACTGCTGCTGTTTTCATACTTAATATAATTGGCAATATGTAAATGCAGTCATGCTCATACAAGTGAACTGGAGTAGATTTGCCCATTACAAACTGTGCTGTGAGCCACCGTACCTCAAACGCCTGAAGCTGCAGCTGTGAGCCTCGATATCGGTCATGTTTCCATGTAAATGTTGGACAAATTGTAACCCAAAATTAGAAAAAGAAAATGCAGTATTGAGGTACGAACGCAGTGATTTTCTCCACGTCAAAACATCAACTTAGAGAGATGATGTTGTTACTGATGGAAACGTGTTCTTTATGTTACTGTCTCCTCATGAGACCACACAGATGATTTCACTGCAGCTATTCTAGTCACTTTATGTAAGTGACTAGAAGTAGTTTAAGTAGAGACTTAAGTGATGGACAGTGAAGATTAGCTTTAAATTTTATTCACAATTCTAATTTATTAACGTTTGAAATATTTTGCAATTTTGTGACTTTTTCCAACTTCTGTTTAAGTTTTTTTATTTTAAAAAAATGAGCTTTTTTCTGTTTTTTCCACTGTCTTTCACCCACTTTATGTCCCTCCCCCCACTTTAAAGGCCAGTTGTTTATGCTGCTTTTCCTTAGTCATGTAAGGCCCATTTCACCAAATCTGCAATAGTTTGCAGCGTGAGTTCATTTCCTCTTGCTCGCCTTTACAAGTTTCACAAACTGAAACAGAACACCACACCTTTACGCACAGGCCTTCGAAAGACCTGCATTTTATAAATCACGTCTGACATTCATAAAATAACATCAGCATTTTTTCACTCACAGTAACAGAAACGGGATACAAGCTCCAAAAAAAAATCCCCACACACCTGACCTCCTGTCCAGGCGGACCAATGGACAGGCCAATCCACCACTCAGTCGGGCCCAGCGAGAGCTGAAGAGACACAGTAAACAGAAAATAAATGACAAAGAAAACTTGCGAGCCATCCTTCACCAGGCCGGAAGATTGGCTTTTCAGAGCTCCTGACATGAGGGGCCTTTCAGGCACCCTGCTTAGTCTGTTCTTGGCCTCTTTCACTGCCTTGTTTTGTTCTCATTATCCTCTCACAAGCCTCGACGCCACAAGAGACTTCTTTAGTCCGATCCAAAAGGCTTTTTGGGAGCGCTCGAGCATTAAAGGGTCCACATATGAGGCGCATTTTAGCTTGTCTCTATGCGTCTGTAAACACTCGAGTCAGGAAATCCATTGTGTTCATGCTTGTACAATCAGTGTGTGCGTAAACTGTTTGAAGAATGGATGTAGTGGCCCATTCAATGGAGACAAACCTCTGTGATTAAGCGCATTCATTTGGCTTGTTTGTCTGGATCTCTGAAAACAAGAAAATGCCTCAAAAGGTCCTGATTTCACTGAAATCACTGCAATTAGGAAGTAGGATTACTCAGCTGGACCATTAATCCTAAGAGAATTAATAGTGTTTAACATTAGAAATCATTGAAAACACATCTTAAAGAAATATAAACCACTTTGCTCTGAGTTTCATTCATTTCTGTTTTCTTAAATTACATTTCAACTGTTTAAAAAAATCTAGCCCTGGAGCCTCCTTGTAGATTCATCCAAAGTCAAGAGAGTGCTAGAGATGCTAGGAGCATGGTGAACGGTAGCTGTGAAATACCACATCGCTGATCTAAATATGGACAATCAGCATTCTCCATTAAGGCCTGCCATCTGTGAAATAAAGTAACACCAGTCACAAATATTACATCTTTCACAGTTCAGGTCAAAGGTTAGTGCTAAAAGCACATTTAGAGCTGCAGCCATTTTAATTAATTATACTAAAGCATCATAATCATCAAAATAAAATAAAAATGTATTTCCTTTTTTTGTATTTCCTAACAGTTTTGCTTTTTTGTTTCTCTGCAGCTAATGTGTATTTATTGTAGCTTTACAATATTAATGTATTGTGGATTTATTTAACTGAATACTTTCAATTTTATCTGGTTACTGTGGCTATAAAAGCCCAACAAAGTTTGGAAGTCAACAATAGCGACACAGTCTGTCTGTCTTTCATTTTCTGTAGTGGGGATATGTTAGACCTGCAACTTCAATAAATAAAATTTAATAACAATAATTAAAAAATAACAACAACAGCCGATGCCACTTTGTTAAAAAAAAATTGTCAAATTAAAATTATCTGATGCAAAATGTATACTGAGGGTCAGGTGTGATGCAGGGACAAAAAACAATTTAATACAATCAACTTTTTAGCCCATTCGAGCTTCATCAGGAGTATTAAAATGATCAAAATACATTTTTTATATATATTTACTGTATTTATGTATGTATTCAATAAATTATTGAATAATTTTCCATTTGATTACATTTAAATTAAATTATTAAAGTGGTAGGAATTAGAATATAATAAAGAAGAAATTGTGTAATATTTTAACTAATTGCATCAAATACTATTATAATACAATTAATGTTAGAAACAAATGCTAATAAATAAAATGCTAACAAGTAATCTGGAAATAAATTCTGTTACCACCTCAAAGTGATTATAAAAACTGATTTCTGTGGAATCTCATTATTTTGTCCCGTCTTTCTCCCCGAGCCTGCGATGGCCCCGCCCCTCCCTGAGCCTGGTTCTGTCTGAGTGAGTTTTTCCTTCCCACTGTCACCCAGTGCTTGCTCATAGGGGGTCATTTGATGATCTTTATTATTGTCGGGTCTTTATCTTGCAATATGTTTTTGTGATTTTTGCTAGATAAACAAAACTGAATTGAATTGAATTTAACAGGTTGTGAATTTAAAGATTTAAAGTAGAATCCATGTCTATGAGCAGCGGCAGTAACAGACCCGCCGCAAGCGTTCCTTGACAAAGTTGAGCTCCTCTTTGGAGTGAATGGACAGCAGATAGGCTCCCATCATCTGACATGCCAGAGAGACAGCTTGCCAGTCAAAGGGCTGCTTGGCCAGCAGGTACTCAGCTCCACGGTAAAACACCCAGGGCTCGCTCTCTGTGGCCGAGGACAAGCACAGAAACAGGACACAAATTCACGTAATAAGATAGGACTACATATAGACAAACTCCTGGCTATGACACAAATATAGAAAAAGTGGCTCTGGCTTAGCCTGCTACCAGAGCTGGATTTTATGCTCATTAAATGGTCGGTTAGCACTTTCTCTCAAAACTTTTTTTTTAATCTAGCAGGTCACATGATAATGATGTAGTCGTACCCAGCAGCAGACTGTAGACACACAAAGGAAACCCTCTATGAAGTTCCCAAATGTTGAAACTAAAGACAATCTTTACTTACGCTCAGTGTACCAGTAGGGTTTGTTCAGTTTATCACCTGCAATGTAAAACAGAGTTTGGTAAATGATGCAGTCCTGATGTGTGTATAAGCAGCATGTGTGTGTAGATAGTGCAGGTGAATGTGTTTGTGCGTGTTTACCTCTGGAAAGCTTACAGATCCACTCATGTTTGGAGTCGCACAGCTGCGGCATGAACGTGTTGGTCAGGTCACTGTACGCAGCACAGTCCCTCCTGTCATCCTCCTCGCTCTTATCATCAATGAACGACATCACCACCTGCACAAAGACAAATCTGTAACACTCCACGGAGCGTTGATGGGTCACCAGGACACTCCGTGAATGTCTCTGTGTACTCACAGGAGAACCATCAGACCACTCCCAAGCTCCGGCATATTCAGGGTCTCTCTTGTTTAAACCCACCCAGAACCGACGAACCTCTGTTCTGAAAAAAGAGAAGCACAGTACAAACACAGCCACAGATAAACGGGTCTTCTAACCTTTTAGGACTCGGATATTCGGCAATGATTTTCCTCCCATCACCCCTTGGAAGACTGTCTAGCCTTTGTGAGGAGAAACAGTTTCCCTTGTTTTATATTTTGGATTTAGCTGTAGATTTAATCTCATCATTTCCATCTTATTTGGATTGTGCAGTTTGTTGCCACAGAGCCAGGCAGTTCTTCTAGAAGTGAAAGATCCTCCGTCTACAAATGATCTTCAATTAAAATCCTCAAAACCCATCAAAGTCTTTGCTGTGCAAAACAAAACTGTATATATACATCAAAATAGATAAGTGCTACAGGGTTTACTATTCAAAGTCTCGTCTTTCTGAGATTTACCCACAAGTGATGGATCAGTGTGAGAGATGTCATGCCAGCCCATGTGACCTAGGTCACATGTTCTTTCTGTCCCCAAGACTCCATGGCTTCTGGAGTCAGTTATTCTTTCCAAGGCTCTTGGGACCCAAATCTGCACGGACCCTTTTCTAGCTGTTTTTGGGCTTCCAGTCAACACTGGTCTAACCGACCCTACACACTTCAAAATATTAGCCTTTACATCACTTTTGGCTAGACGTTGCATCTTACTCCTTTGGAAATCTTCAAAGGAAACCTTCAGTTTCCTTGGTTTAGAGATGTGATGTCATTTTTTAAATTGCAAAAGATAGGCCTTGTGGCGAAGGGCAAATACAGAGAATTTTATCGTATCTGGGGCCCCTTCGTAAACTATTGCAAGTAATTAAACGTTCTACCAGCTGATTAATATCTTAGTTTTTGTTTTGTTTTTTTTGTTTGTTTTTCTCAATTTTATATAAGTGTGTGTGTGTGTGTGTGTGTGTATTATTGTATCTGTTCATGTAAGAAAAACTAACAAATATGTGAGGGGAACATTTATATACATCAATAAAAACATTTATATAAAATAGATAAGTATGTTTTTTGTAATGATCAGATTGACAGCTGTGTGCTATTTTAAAATGGACTTGAATGTGTTAATTTCTTTTTGGTTTCATCCTCTGCAGTCATACAAAATAAACCTTGATTCGTTTTTTTCCCAAGACCTAGAAATGAAGTCATAGCCCACCCCCTTAGCAACACTGCATTGGCTGACCATTTGTTTCATGTTTATATTTCCGAGCTGCTGCCACAAAACAAACATGAGAACCTGATGACTGTTTTTCCGTTTACATGTAAAAATAGACAAATGTATGACTTCAGGGCTTCAAAGTCCTGGCCTGCTCTGATCTACATGAGAAACTCATTTTACAACTTGTGTCTGCACATTTTTTAAGCTTAATGTAAAACATATTTTTAAGAAAACATGAACCAAAAAAAAAGTCAAAGTGACCCCAAAGACATCCTGAGATTAATTATCTCTAATTTGAGTGACGTCTTTCTTACGTGAATCTGAGAAATATGCGTCAGAGAGTTAAATCAGTCTTATCTGGAAATGAAGACGCCCTGATGTAACTTCAGAATCTGCGGTCACCTTGTCCTTGTTCTTGATATCGAGATTGCTGCGTTAAATAACTTTTCAAATCTAAGTCTCCTACACACAACTAAAAAACTAACACCATAAAAAAGGTGGACATCTGCTCTCCAAAACCAAATAATTAAACTCTATATTCACTCCTCCAAGCACATAAAACAAAATCATCTCAATCGTCCCATAACATTCCTGTACTGATGAGTACCAACCCTTCAAACATGGTACTGAGGAGCTGTTTAACAAACACCTGCTCCTCATAGTGTTGGAAACTGGCCAGCTGAGCCCCGAGGGCCTGACAGAAGAAGTCTGCTTCCACCCAGGAGCGCTTCATCAGGACTTTCTCACTGTGGAACACCTGGAAGAGCAACACTTGGAGTCAGCTGAGGGTTACAGGGTCCAAAGAACAGAAATGTATCCCATTATGTGCTCGTTGCTCGGAAACATGCTGATAGCTGGGGTACAATTTGGCAGTGGGGTGTTATGTCTAAAAATAATGGTTTATTCCATCCCGCTTTTGATTTGTAGTGCTGCGTCAGTTTTATAGTAAGATGTGCTGCATTTTAACTATTTTTTCAGCTATTCCACACCTTTTTCTATAAACAAGAAAGAGAGGAAACATATCAAAACATCAATCCTATTAGCAATCATGATGTATGGCGGGGATAGACAAGTGGTTTACACATCTGCCTAACTTCATAAAGGTTCCAGTTTGAGACCGGGGTGGGGGGGACACTGATCCTGCTGTGAGTTGCTTCAGAAGGGCAGCGTGGTGTAAACATGTGTTAAATCAAATATGCCGCGATCCCTCGTTTATAAGGGAACAGCTCAAAGAAGATGTTCATAGAAGGCAGGCAACAGCAAAATTATAGCCATCTGGGGGATGGGTTTTCAATAAAACCAGTGTGGGAGTGCAGTACTGATCAAACAAACACACACTGAGACGCATTTTCAGAGCTGGGATAGTAAGCTGATCCACTCATTAGTCAAGCGACAGACAGTTAATAAGCTCTAGACCCTAAAATGTCTTTTAGGATCTGTCTATTGTATTGAAGTAAATATCTTGCAGCTGTAAACTGGAGTAAACAGATACTATAGGAGACGTTTTAACTGATAATGAAAATAACTATTAAATGTAGAGCTGGTTGAAATTGGAAATCAGGAAAATAAATTGCCTGTCAGTGTGAATGTGTGAGACCCCAGGTAGCCCTGCCTGTTGCATAGTGCATGATGGGATAGGACACCGTCCCCAGTGATCCTTAGCGTGATAAACAAAACAAAAAAGCAAATATCCACATCAGATAGAGTGCATGGTGATTTGTTTAGTGTTATAAAAAAATAGGAGGATAATCTAACCTTAAAGCAGTGGAGCAGCCCAGAGTTTGATTCCCACCCTGGGGGGCACGGGGCGTAGGCATCAATGTGATGCTCTGGCAGCTGAACATCATGGTAGCTCCTGATGTTCTGCTTACACACAGCCAAGGCCTTGTGAACCTTGCAGTCTTTCACCTCCCAGCGGCCCAGAGCAGGTCCTCCTGACATAGCGACACAGCCACCGGTGCTGACTAGTGAAAGCAGAAGATGTAGGAGTATTAAAAAAAAGAGTGAAAAAGTTTACGAATCCGATTGTATTACTAATGTCAAATTAAAAAACAAACATTTCCAAACACTGGGCTACCTGGCTGGTGCTTATTCCAGTTTGTGAAGGTGAGAGGCAGAGAGGAGCCGTTATGATGAAGCCATCTGTACTCTCCCTTCCTCCCCTGGTCTTGGTCCCTGAGACCAATCCAGTAATACATGCTACTTTTGGCCCCACTTTCACTCAGCAGACTGTTGACAAATGCCTGCTCAAACCTGCCAGCAGGTGGAGCAAGAGAGGAGAAAAGTAAGAAGAATGGCAAAATGTGAGTAAAAACTTAAAGTGACAAATTCAAAAATGAATTGATAAATCACCTGTTTTCCACAGTGAGAAGAGAACCCTTGCAGTAATACCCCATCAGGGCATCTTCGTAGCTCTGTTCTTGACCTGTCACCATGTAACAGGAATGGCCGTGCTTCTTCCAGCCCTAAAACCACCCCCACAAAAACACCCGTTATCAGGCTCTCTCTCACTGCTTAACTCCAAAATAAGAAAAATCGGATTTATAGGTTAGACAGGTTTTGCCTTTCGTCATCATTGTTCACATTTCAGCACTCCTGTTCAATAAACTATCTAAAGCTCTGTTCTAGGATGCCCTCTGGACCCAGTGGAGGTGGTGAGTGACAGGAGAATGGCGGCTAAGCTGTCATCCCTGTTGGACAACGTCTCCCACCCCATGCAGCAGACTGTGACAGCACTGAGCAGCTCCTTCAGTGGGAGACTGCGGCACCCACGGTGTGGGACGGAGAGATTTCGCAGGTCTTTCCTCCCCACTGCTGTCAGACTCCACAACAAAGACTTTAACTGAACAAACACACACATCCACACATGTGCAATAACACTAAGTGCAATAATCTTTTCTGGCATCGTTGTATTTTTACTCAGTTGTATATAGCATTCGTATTCTATTTTTATCTTATTGTATATTTTTATTCTATTTTATTCTACTGTATATAGTATATTATTTTATTCTATTCTGTACAGCTGTGTACTGTATTTATTCTTATTGTATTCTAATTTTTGCGTCATAACTTTTGCACTGTCCACTTCCTGCTGTGACAAAACAAATTTCCCACGTGTGGGACTAATAAAGGTTATCTTATCTTATCTTATCTTATCTTAAAGAGCAGCGATAGAGGTAAATATGCATGGTGCTTCTATTTACAGATTGTCGGGTTTTGCCTCATGTGCTTTGCTCTACAGCTTTCCATCTATTACTCGCTGAAATGTCCCTGGTGCCGTAACAGGTTAGATTAATGAGGCTGAACAATCATCCCCTCATGCCACTGATTCGAATCCAGGTTTAGCCAGAAGCTTAACAGGAGCTGACATTTTGGTTGTTGCCTACAGCTGTTTGTAGGAGTCTTTTCCCCCATCTTTATTAAATCGAGGCAGCTCTTATAAAGCAACGGGATTTTCTGAGACAGAAAGCTGAAAGGTATATTTAAGCACATGGCACAGCAGCTATTATTTACTTATAGTGAATAATGATCCCTGACGTGTAGACACGAGTGGTCAGGACCTCAGTACAGACTGCAACAGAATATGGCTTTCTATACTTTTCTGTTATGGTAATGTAAGTAAAAGTATGACAGTTTCACACATATAGTCCCGTTCCACTTTATTAGACAAACCTCCTCAACTGCTCATTAATGCAAAACTCTAAATGAAACTCAGTGTATTTAGTCCTGTGGACATGGTCACAATGACCTGCAGAATTCAAACTGAGCAACACAGTAGAGAGAAAAGGTGATTTAAGTGACTTTAAACGTGGCATGGTTGTTTGTGCCAGATGGGCTGGTTTGAGTATTTCAGAAACTGCTGATCTGCTGGGTTTTTTCCCACACAACCATTTCCATGGTTTACATAGAACGGTCCAGAAAAAAAGAGAAAATATCCAGCGAGCAGCAGTTTTCTGGGAGAAAATGCTTTGTTGATGTTAGAGGTCAGATGAGAATTCCCAGGCTGCTTTGAGCTGGTAAGAAAGCAAAAGTAACTCAAACAAACGCTCGTTACAACCAAAGTATGCAGAAGACCATCTCTGTACTTGCTACACATCATAGAAAGTTGAAACAGATGGGCTACAGCAGCAGAAGACCACACTCGAAGCCGCTACTGTTAACCAAAAAAAGAAAAATTAGGTTTTCCAAAACACAAGACTGGAAAAAACGTTGCAGTTATTGTTTTGGTGCTTGGAACTGATCTTTGGTTTTACCGCAGAGGCTGTAATCTCTAATTATCATGCTCGATCGGTTGCTGTAGTTACATATACAGTTATTACACACGGACAATACATTCAGGGTTTAGAAAAAAAATGAAGATTTTATTAACAGATCAGTCAGCACAGGCAGAATTTGAGATGCTTCTTCTGTGAAAACATCATTTCAGCCAAATAGTGCTACAGTTACTATTTTCTCTATAATCTCCAAAAATTAAGCTTGTGCACACAAATGAAGGCGTTTTGCAAACTAAATCATTTAAAAGTGAACAACTGAAATGTGTCTGTAGCCTTCGAGGAACTGAAAGGTGGCACTGATCACTCAGAGATAGATAGGGTGACTGACTAATTTCAAAACCGATATAGATATTTGGTGACATAAGAAGACAATATGTCAGCCGATATCTTTTTCTTTCAGACACATGAAACATAAATAGATTTTCCTACCATTTGTTATGTGTTGCTATTTATGAGCCCTTGCTAAGATAAGACGACAGAGCAGTTTAAAAATAATCTAGTTTAATTGTTACATGTTGTAGATTAGTTGTTTATGCTTTGCCTGACTCTGCTCTCATCAATCATCAGAATCACAATATTTTATTAATCCCTAATGAAATTATGTGGTTACAGTCACACAGATGAAATATATATAATTGACATTTTACTCTAACCTGTAAAACTTGTGATTTGCTATTTTACTGTAGAGCGTGTGCAAAAGGATGTAACTATTGCACTCTGTAGTGTGGATTAGATGGGCAGGATTGATTTCCTGTGTTGTTCTTTGGTCGTTTGGGTCATTTCAGTCTTTCACTGAATGTTCTCCTGTGACTGGCCAGCACGTCATGGAGAAGGTGGGAGGCATTATCCAGCATTGTCCTTATCTTGGACAACATCCGGATCTCCAACACCACCTTAAGGGAGTCTAGCTCCGTCCCCACAAGATTACTGGCCTTGTAGATAAGTTTATCGAGTCTGTTGGCATTTGCAACCCTTAACCTGCTGGCCCAGCATGCACCAGCATAGAGGACAGCACTGACCACAACTGACTTGTAAAAAATCCTGAGCATTGTCAGACAGATGTTAAAAGACCTCAGCCGCCTCCGAAAATAGAGACGACTCTGGCCCTTCCAGTAGAGCGCAGTGGTGTTTTTAACCCAGTCCAGTTCATTATCTATGTGTAATCTGAGGTATTTATAGTCCTCTACAATGTCCACATCGACCCCTGGATTGAAACAGGGGTCAAGGGTTTCCTGGTCCGCCTGAAGTCCACAATCAATTCTTTGGTCCAACACGCAGACTGCTTCTTTTAGCAATATAGTGTAACTAATACTGGCTGATAAATAAGTCAAACGATATGTCTTTATCATTCTGTATAATACGATAATTTTTAATTCTACAACTGTAGAACTTAATTCTACATACCATAATAGACCCATTTCTGTAATATACTTACATATCTATATTATTGCTAATATATTGTAATATATCTATATCATGGCTAAAGCACTTCTGGATGGATGCAGACTGCATTTCGTTGCCCTGTACCTGTGCATGTGCAATGACAATAAAGTTGAATTCTATTCTATTCTATTTATTAAAGCACTCAACAATCATATTTCTGCCTTATAAAAATCGCACTTAAGCCAGTTATGTTAAATAAAATATCCTTTTGACATAACTGCTAAAACTCACCTGTAACATCTGTTCTAACATGATAATACTGTAATAATATGCATATCAGCAAGAATACACGCCTGTGCGTGTGCGTGTGTGTGTAATGTGGTGAGCGTGCTTGGACAAGAGGTGAGAAAACCCCCACATCCCCCCCCGTCGCTCCTGTTTCCTGTCTAGTTTGTTTTGATTCTTTAAATATTGTCAGAAAAATTCACAGACTACTCGAGCATGTCCACTGATACTGTGTCATCGGGGTAATTTCTGGCCTCCTGTTTCAGGGCATGAAGCACCCTGATGACTCAGGAGTCTGATATTCCTTTGAACACAGTCAAGGAGCAACATGCATGCCAGACAACACGTCAGAGGTTGAATGAGTCAGCTAATTGTGCATTTGAAGGAGCAGAATGCCCAGAAATTGAACCACAGCAGACATGTGGCACTTTCTAACGCAAGTCCTGATCTCTGTGGAGCTATTTTAATGCTACACAGCACACAATATGCCTGAAAAACTAGAAATAAGTTGTTTTTTTAGTGTCAAGTTTCTCATCAGAATGAAAAAAATCTAAATACTTAAATATTACATATTAATATTAATTTTTACAATGTTCACTATATAGCTATTTTTTTCTGTAAAAAAGCAATACTTTCATGTTTGAAAGTAAAGACAAGTACCATAATGATTCAGTTCTATCCCCAAGTCTTGTAGATGTTTCTTTTGATTTCTCAGCTTTGCCCTGCTGCGAGTAAATGTTTATCGGAGGTCGTTTTAGTGTCATGCCGTCATATAATGTGACAAAGTTTAAAGCTCACATATTGCCAAAAGATGACTTCTTATATCTTGCTCAAAGAAATCGCACATTTGAACTTGTGTGTGTTTGGGGGTATTCTTGTTTCCCTACCTCAGGACAGCCCTCATCCCAGGTTCCGTGGTGCTGAACGCCATTCTGGCTCTCTCTTCTGCACACAGCAGCCAGTCGCTCGTCACATGACGCTAGCAGCCAGTTGCCACTCTGTGAAAGATGTGTTCAAAGATGATGCGTTCCGTGATGAATGCATTCAAACATTATAAAGTGATTAACCCTGACATAATTAGATGGTTAATTTATTAGCTAATTGACAGAGAATAAATTGGCGGCTATTTCTGGAGCTTATTAATCACGAGTCCATTAAAACCTGCTTTAATGGAGTCTGATGGAAATGCATTCAGCTACTGAAAAATGAGATTGGCACTTTTCCTGGTAATAGATTAGGGTGAAATATCCTTTGTTCAACTGTTGGTAATAATAAAAGGCTAGAAGTGGGCATATTTAACATTTCATTTAATTAGATGTTTGTTTGTTTTTTAAACGGGCAGCTTAATCAGAAATTTAAATACTGCAGCGTTCTTACACCAACACAGGGTTTCCCACCTTCCTGTCCACTTTGGTACACAGTGTTCCATCCGTCAGGTTATGAAGAGGGTGATACTGGTGCCAGAGAGTGAGAGTTACTGGTGAGCCATCAGACCACTCTACAGCTGGCAATAATGCCTGTTTCCAAAGTCCAATCCACACCTCTGTACTCCCCCCAGAATCTGTCAAATATGAGGACACACACACACACACGCCGCAGAATTTAGCATTTAGGGTGGATAACAAACACAGCACGAAATATCTGGATTGCATAACACTCCTTACAGTTAGCCAGGAGGTTGACCAGCATTTCCACCTCAGACAAGGAGTGGATGCTGGTGAGATTTGCCCCGTAAGAATGACATTCCTGAGAAGACTCCTCCCAGCTTCCCGCTTCTGCTTCTGGCAGCACTCGGTAGCAAAAACCATTGTGAGGCCACCAGCCATCCGCACACTCGGTATCGATATACTGCCAGTTCTCTGCAAAGGGAGAGGAGACATAAGCCAGACCAGAATATTCAAAGCTGCAGACATTATTTTTGGTCTAGCTGCCAACAGCGCAACACAGAGGAAGGCCAAAGGTTCGGCCCCCAGGTGCAGTGCAGCTGCCCAGTCACGTTCTAAGGGCATATTCACACTGGACGCAGCTGCCTTGTACTGAGCTCGAGCACGACTGTTTCCTGTCCACATTCCTCCCCTGGCTTGCACTCTCACTGCCCTATACTTTTTTTTAATTTCTTACTTAAAAAAGCAGTATTTACAGATGCAGCTATGGCTGTGGAAACATCTGAGATCCATGTCGGGGCATGGATAGAGTCATGTGCCAGAGTCCAGCTGAACTGCAGCTGGTCTTACCCTCACAACTCAAACAAACTGGATTTTGGGGGTTCAGATATGTGAGGGCACAGCACAGCACAGATACCTCCAAGGATGCAGAGAGGTCTCCAATATGTTTGTGTCTCCTGCGCGTTAACATGTTCTCACCTAGTGGCTCAGCTCCACGCGTGTCGTTAGGTGTCTTCTTGCAGATGTAAGGCAGAGCAGATTCACAGGATAGACTCTGCCAGTGACCCTCGAATCCTGAGTACACCCCACACTGTTTATTGTCCTGTAGCGGGCTGGCTGGGAGATCTGACGGGCACAAATGGTAAAAAAGCTTTGTTGGCTTTATTTCCTCATCAGTTACACAAGTTAAAGTTTTGCAGCTAGACATATTTAAACATTAAAGTGTTAAGATGGAGGGATGTTTAAGTCCTGACAGAGCTGTCGATGTACATCAGATGAAAAGGCTATTTTAGATGAAACTTCTATAACATAGGTTTTATAAAATAAGTCTTTTATGCTTTATTTTCATGATAAAATGACTTCTTTTTTGCCTTTGTTGGAGAGGCATTTCTAATATTCTCATTAGTGAAAATGTGGGGTACTTTTTAAATTTCCCTCTCACTTGGTCCTGGATAAACCAGTAGTCAGTACCTGTGGTGAAATTCACCAGTGACAGAGGGGCTCCGTCAGACCACCCCCATCCATGCCCATCCTTAATGTGGTTCAGCCCGGTCCACACCATCGCCCCAACGCTCGCCATTCGATCTACCACAAGATGCAAACACAGAAAAGTGTTGTAGTAGTTCTTAAAATACACTTCGGACATAACTGAATATACACTCATGGGACACTTTTTTAGGTACACCGGTTTAGCTGCTTGTTAATGCAAATATCTAATCAGCCAATCACATGGCAGCGACTCAATGCATGTAGACGTGCACATGCTCACGAGGATAATTAGAATGGGGAAGAAAGGTAGTTTAACGAGAATGTATGGATGAAAATGCCTTTGTGATTCCACAGGTCAGCAGAGAATGATAAGACTGCTTTGAGCTCATAGGAAGGCAAGAGTAACGCAGGTAACTGCAACAAAGGTATGCAGAAGAGCATCTCTGAATGCACAACACTACAGCAGCAGAAGACCACGCTGGGTGGCACTCATCCTAGATAAAAACAGTTTTAGTGTCTTTTTTAACATGTGCGGTACCTCTGATATACTTGTGCTCTGCCAGGCTGGTGATGCTGAGCAAATTTCCACCTTGGGCCTGGCAGGTAGACAGCGCCTGACTCCAGGTTTGGATAGTGTACAGGTTGAACTGGTAACATGCGCGCAACTCCTGGTTTGACTCCCAGAAGTGCTCACAACCGGAAACTATGAAAAAACAGACAAATGAAAACTGATAAGCACAAAGGTAAAGTGACGAAGATAACATGAGCACGCAGCAACAACGGCCTGTGATGACTTGTCTTCCTTTCTTGCACTGGTGCGTCTGTGTGTCTGGTTTACCTTGCACTGGACAGAAACCCCATCTTTCGCCTTTATCGTAGCGAGAGGTGGCTGAGCACCACAGAAGGTGGTCCTCACGCCCCTCAGTAGTACACTCAGAGTACCATTGGTTGTTGTATTTAAAAGGAAAGGCACAAGGCATTCCATGTGCATTCCCCAACAAAGTGTGGATATCTGTAAACAAAACATGCCAAGTTTCACTTGATGTCAGAAATATCTTGTGCAGACAAGGCACACAGGAAGTTTTGGGTTGTTTACCTTCATATGGATATGAGCAGGGACCCTCTCTGGGAGTGTTGTACCTCTTCCACTGATGGTAAATGTTTTTCTTTACCGCCACTAAACCTCGAACCACAGTCACCCTCCACTGGGACGCTCCATACAGCGTGTTTCCGCTGCAGCGCCACCACAGCACGGGGAGAGACACATCGCACTCGAACATCCCGAGGGGCTGCGTCGAGTCGGAAATGTTGAGGCCCAGGCACGCGCTGGTGCCCAGATTGAAGAGACGATGCTGGGAGACCCACTTCCACAGCATGCGGCGCGTCGGACGCTCGCAGTCCTCCAGCACTAGTTTCGAGCGATTTGCTGAGATGCACTGCTTCAGCGGCTCACTCTCCAGGATAAACAGACCTTTCTCTGGTAGGAAGTGATTGAAAACGGGGCAATGTGGGGCAATTCATGTGAACGTGTGCCGTAAACAACAGGGAATGCATTCAGCTTCAGAGATCAAAAAGTAAAGTACAAAGACATGCTTTTCCGCATTTCCATATCTGACGGAGCAATATTCAAGCTCGAGGAAGGCCTTGTGTTTAGAAACAAATCATGGTCTTTTGTAACTGGATACTCAAACAAAGAGAGAGGATGATTCCAAGCAGCGGAGATGAAAAGAGTGTGAATGAATCATCTCTTCCTGCATCTTGCTAGTTTGTACAGACAAAGAAAATCAGCATTATATGTTACCGGATCTAAAACAAATAACTAAAATTGTTCGGTGAGAATTTACATGGCTCAATTGGTTTAAAAAAAAAGATGCTGGTGTGCACATCCATCACCAAAAGGGCATTTTCAGTGTCCAGATATTCTTCCTCTGCGTTTTTAATGTGCACACTGTATTTGATTGCATTCTGGACGAGAACATGGGCTGATCTGAACAAAAGTAAACAAACTGTGGTTGCTGCTCATAACTTTCCTTACAGTTCAGTAAGTTGCAGATATTTTTGACTAACTCGTCGTTTAAACATGCCCAGATCTTCACCTTTAAGAAGCTGGATATGCCAATATGATGCAAAGCTCTCTAAAACGCGGGGATGTAAGATGGCGAAAGATGGAGAAAATCAGCAGTCTCACACATGCAAAGGTGAATGTTTGACATTTTCCCAGAATAACCCAACTGCTTATCACTCGAATGACTCACTGGCCTATTGTGCTCATAATAAACAGACTGCATGCTCACATGCACACACACACACACACGGGGGAGAATTGAGAAAAAAAACAGCAAGAAATGTGAGCCTGGTGCAGCTGTGGGGTTCAAACTGTGGTCCACAGACCTCTATTCAGACCTGAGGAGAGTTTAGGTGAGTCTTTAGATCACCCCCTCCATGCACAATTCCCTGATGTTAAACAACATCTTCATGAAATATGAAAAAAGGGAACTACTACATGCGTTATGCGTCCCATCATGTAGGCAATTAAACTTCTACTAAGGGACCAGCTGGTAACTTACTGTAAAACTCCACGAGCTGTTTTTTCTCCAGGACTTCATCGTCCTCGTCTTCAGTGACACACACACAGCCTTTCGCCAACAACACAGTCACGCAAATAATCGCCAGAACAGGCGCGGAGTCCACGCAGCGGTACAACTGGATGAACATTTCGACAGCGGGATGCAGCGTTGGAGAGCCAATGTCCGCACATTCCGAAGATCAGAGGCGCAGGGGGTGTTTGGGGGGTTTCTTTTTTTCCCTTCTTCTTTCTTTCTTTCCTCCCCTCGTACAAAAACTTCCTCCGTCGAGTCTGGTTTTTCAGCGGGGAAACAGCGACGTCACGTCTGACGGAGGAGCCGCTGCTGTCCGGCCTGAAAGCTGCATTCCTGCCGCTCAGGACTGTTTTCGCTGGGGCAGAGCCACAAGTCTGTATTTAGACTTGACCGAAGAAAAAAAACAGACAGAGGGCAGACAGACAGTTTGTCTGTAAGCTGTGTAAAGTACATGACTGTGAACAGACTGCTCTCAGGTAAACTACACACAGCAAACTGTAGCCTACAGCTGTGTCATGTCTGGGACAGGCACTCAGATATCAACAAGTACTCTGGAGTTAGGCTATGCTAAGAAAATCTATCTTTCATATTGCCTCTGTTATGTATATTTAGAGTTAACAAAAGACTTTGTATGCTTGTCACAATGTGTAATGCCTCCAACACATATAACACGTAAAAAAACAAAAAACAAAATTAAGCATACAGGTTTTGGTGTGACCTGTAAAGGTACACAACTTTGGAATAGCTAAAAACAACAGCACTTGCGCTAAAATATGTCTTATACTGCACCTTGTATGGCAAGGATCTCTCAAAAGTTTTAACAACTCTCTATGTGAAGTTTATGGTATTATTTTTTTTGTGCCACTCTCTGGATGTATTGGATTAGTGTTATTTTTATGATAGGATTCCTCTGGCAATTTTAGGATATTGAGTCATTTATGTTGGGATTCACGTATATCTTATTTGCGCTGAATCCTCCTCTGTTCCAGCCCCGTTCCCCATTCCCTCATCCCTATGAAACCTGCTCCTTTATACTAAGTTAAAGGTTGTGTGTGAAAGGAATTTCCCATCTGTGGGGATAAATAAAGCACCCTAGCTTATTGCAATTTCAGTCAGATTTGCAAACAAGTAATCAAACTGACACACATTGAATAAAGGGCCTTAGTATCCAGGGCAAGTTGCCTTGTTAAAAAATGGAAACCCTGAGCACTGTGTGATCCCACTGTAAGCAAAATAAATTTTAAATTTTGTTTCTTGCAGGTAAATCAAATCAGTCTGCTCACTCTTTGTGAGAACTGTGTTGTAACCTGCAATTAAAACCCAAATTGCAGAGGAGTCATTTCAAAAATGCCAAATCCAACTTTAATTATGTGCCACATACCATTAAAAAAAAAAACTCAGAACAACAGTTATTAAAATTAAAGGCTCAGCCTTGTTTTACAGTAAAACAATCGACACATTATTACCAAAAAAACATCTCTTACACCTGTATATTTATACATTTTCATTCAGTAGTAGATCACTTGTAGTGTAGACTTCTCCTTTACCAAGTTGCAAGTTGCAGTACATGTAGGGCCATGCAATAGAAATGTCCAGTGTTTGACAGTACAGTGCACTTCTACAGCAGCAAATTCATCTCGCAGTGTTTGTCTGTTCACAGTGTTGTCTACTGTGCTAGGACATCTCTGAATTAACACAGGGATTCGTACAAAAACTATTCTCTGTCTCATACACACACAAAGTCACACACTTAAGTGCACTCAGACGCATCCAGTTCGTCATCAGTAGTGATTCATTGTGATAGTCTTTTCTTTCTGTGCATTTTTATAAGTTACATTTCTGTATGTAGATGTTGAGCTCCTGAACAGAGGGTTGGTCCCCTGAAAGAAAACAAAGAAAGAACACAATGACGTTTAGATTTTTACAGATGCCACAGAAAGACCAAAACCAACAACACACTAGTCCTGTAAACCTTCCAAACTGCCTGAAGCTCATTTGGCCCAAATCAGAAATCTCAGTGAGCTTGTTTAATGTTAAAGTTAATGATAGCACAGTTTAAAAAAAGACTGAACAAGTATGGAAGGGTTGCAGTAGAAGCCTCTTTTTCTCTCTAAAAAGAACGTTGCAGCACAGCTTAGGTCTGCAAAGTTGCATGTGAACAACCCACACAACTTCTGGAACAATGTCCTGTGGACAGATGAGACCAAAGTGCAGATGTTTGGCTGTAATGCACGGCACCACATTTGGAAAAAACAACAACACAGAATATCAGCACAAACACCTCATACCAACTGTCAAACAATGTGGTGGAGGGGTGATGATTTGGTCTCGGTTTGCAGTCGCAGGACCGGGGCACCTTGCAGTCATTGGGTCCACCATGAACTCTTCTGTATACCAAAGTGTTCTAGAGTCAGATGTGATGCCATCTCTCTGACAGCTAAAGTTTCAGAGAGATGGCCCAAGTAGATCAGTAAATCTACAACAGAATGGCTGAAACCAAAGTCCAGACCTCGACCTGCCTGAAATGCTGTTACAGTAACTTTTCAATTCTATTCTATTCTATTTTATTTATATAGTGCGAAATCACAACACCAGTCACCTCAAGGTGCTTTATATTGTAAAGTAGACCCTACAATACAACACAGAAAACCCCAACAATCACACGATACCCTATGAGCAAGGCGACAATGGAAAGGATAAACTCCCTTTTAGCAGGAAGAAACCTCCAGCAGAACCAGGCTCAGGGAGGGGCGGCCCCAACCTGCCGCGACCGGTTGGGGTGAAGGGAGGAAGATAAGACAAAAGACATGCTGTGGAAGAGAGCCGGAGATTAATAATAACTAATGATTAAACCCAGAGACGTGTATAAACACATAGAGAGTGGAAAAGGTGACTGTGCATTAATGAATACCTACAAGCCCCAATGACCTGAAGCACAGTTGTAAAAAACAGTGGGCAAAAATTCCACCGCAACAATCTTAGAGACTGATAAAGTCACACAGAATTTTTTTCTCTATTTGTTGCTGCCAAAGGTGTTTCTACAAGCTACCGAGTCACGGGATGTATGTCAGTGAATATTAGTGGGAACAGTTTAGTTATGAGAGACACCTCGCCATCAGACTTTGTCCACCCTTTTGAATATCTAATGAATGTCTAATACATTATTTTGCTTTTTAATTATTCATCTGAGCCCAACAAAAAGATATTAGAAAGAATAAAAGCGAAGTCATCCACGGTCTTACCGACTGCCAGTTTGCCTTTGCCCTCTCAGCCTCAAACTTGGCCACCTCCTTTTGGTCATGGACTGACACCAACACCTTCCACACACCCAGCAGGATCAGGCCGATACAGACGACAGAAAGGGAGACCCCGAGAAGAATCATGGGGATGTTGGGTGGCTCTGGACATCCTGAGACAGGACATGAGAGCGAGATGAGACTTGCACCGGGAGTATCTTTCACTTTAGTCGTCTACGTTGGTGTCAAGCTTACCGTACATCTGCAGATCATAGGCAGTGGTGTCCGTCTCACCTTCCACCACTTTAAATGACGCCCAGCACTCATTCTTCATCATAAACGTGCACGACATAGAAGGACTCTTGTCATAATCTGTGAGGAAATGTGAACATACATATCCATAAGGTAAGGCTATCATCTTCCCTTTGACATTGTGCTGAGAATGTCAGATGATATACTCTGCTCTGTTGTGCTGTCAGTGTGACTTCATTATCTAAGACTAGAATCTGGTGTGTGTGGACCGAACCATTGTGTTTCACATCTGAAGCTTGAAAATCTTCTGTGATAATCAGATATGCCTCTCAGCTTGCACAAGTACAGCGGCTTTAAAATCAACTCCTCTACAAAGGAAGACCAGGTTCTTTGGCTATTCACAGGCACCATAATAGCTTTGCCTGTACAACAAGGTAAATAATATGTTCCCCATTGTTCCACACTGCCCAAAAGGACATGGATGGCGTTGTGTTAGAGAGGGGGGGTGCAGACTTCACAGAGACACCCGAGTCAATGGAGGTCAGCATTCCTCCAAAGCAGCGACCCTGGCTGAAACTTAGCAGGCCTCTGTGTTGATAGCACCACCATGAATAAGAACCCTTGCAGGACAGGGAGGCAAAAACTTGATGTTATTTGATTTTAATATATTTTGCTTGGTTTTAAGGAGTTGCTACATTTTAGCACATTTAAAAAAAGCTATTTTAAATATTTTGCTCCTGGCCATTCTTCAAAATATGTCATATATGTTTTGAAGGTTTTCTTTCATTAATTACTATTTACCCACTAAGGGGTGTTAACCTGCATAGACTTAAAACCTGCATGAGATCCAGTATCTCTTGGTGGCAGTTAAAAACCAGCTTTATTTGATTGATTTAAATCAATACCAGTAACTAAGGATTGTTAACATGCATAGACTTGAAACATTCGTTGACAGTTGCAAGCAGGTCCTGTTTTGCAAATTCTTCCTTGTGAACATCATACAAGAGAGTCTGATATACAGATTTAGGTGTCAAATTGCCGTTTACCCCACAGCGAGTTTGTGAACATGAATTGCAAAAAGTAACCAAACAGAAGTGAAAAAGCAATTTCTCTCAACAGTCAACAGGCTGTCCTTCTAGCTGTGGATTCACACAGTTTTCATACCGTCGCTTGCAGTGTATTGTACTATCAGGCCAGAGAGACCTGTGGATTTAAAGGTGTCACAGGACTCAAACAAATGAAGGTCAAGGTCAAATGCTTAGTCAACCTAGGTACTCATATCCCCCAAGGCCTAGTATATTGTTGTGAAGTTTGAAGATGATCCATAAAAAATTGTGGGTGATAGTTTTTACTGATTTTCACATTTTGAGTGACCTTGACCCGATTTTCAACAAAATGAAATCAGTTCAAGCTGTTACTGGCATCTACAATCACAAAAAAATATTTGAAAATGATATCTTGAAAACTGTGGACACTAGGCTGCTTACATCCTCCTTCTCTTTGGGGGAGAGAATAATTGTTTTGTGTTACTGAACCAGGAATACCTGGAAGGCCTAAATACCAGCTAGCTCTTTCTGATGTAACACCCTGAAAAGGCAGGACTGGGTTTTTTAGCCACACCACCTGCTCAACTTGCCAGATTAGTCTCACTGTGACTTTGTCCTTTTGTCTGAAATGCAAGTCAAACTGTTTGGTCATCATTTTTGACTCAGTGGAGGAGTGATCTAAAAATAACAGTAGTCTTGAAAACCTTTGCGGGGCTTTCCAACAAGATAACATTGAATAAGGAAGGGCCGAACTTAAAGCAGATATGGTTTTATGACTTTTATAGCCAGAGTTAGAAAATGTATCGATTGCACCTTGTAGAGCGACATTACTAGAGACAAATGGGAAGGTTTGTATGTGGTGATTTAGTGATTTACCCCATTAGGTAAGTAAGTTTAGTTTAGGTTACGGTTAGAGTTCAGTGAGTTAGACTAAGAGGCTGAATGAAAGTAAAGTAACAACAGGTTAAGTTAGGGAATCCTTTACCTCCTGTTGTATTGATGGAAATTGTAGTAGCGCTGCACCTTTGATCACATGACTCAGCATCATCCTGATCTTGAAGATGGCACTCTACACAGGTCCTAGTGTTGAAATGAGCAGGAAAACGAAAGGTTAAGATGATGCAGCAAGCATTTCTTGAGGCTTCAGTCACTGACACGGGGCGAAAGGAGAAATCACAGTTGTGGTCACTTATCAGCTTTTTTCCCAAGGCTTCTCTCACTCTCTATCACGGGTTCCCCCCCTCCACAGTAAGAGTAGTATCAAATGGTCCTGGCCCTGACAGCTGCTTTACAATGAAGAAAGGAAATCTCTCAATGCTGTGTTGGGGACATTAGTATCTTTTGAAGTTACATGGAAGGTGTAGACACATGTGAACAACAGGACCAGAACCTGATATGCCTGAACTCCAAAGAGCAGACAGATCACGCGGCGCAAGGAGACGATATCTTGTATCTCTGAGGTAAAGAAATACCAATCACCAAGGTGACGCTGACAAAATACTCGACATTACACCCTCGTTCGGCTGAAAGAAGCGATGGAATGAGTGCGCTCTCACCTTGCAGATGTACAGGAGCTTCCACAGGTTGGACACTTCTCACACTTGTCCCCAGATGCTCCGGGTACAGTGCAGACACAGTGGCCACATACACATTTCCCCCTGCCGCTGCAAAGTGAGCCATCCTTAGATGTGCACGCCTCCATGCTGGTGCTGCAGTTACAGTACTGCCCTTTCCATCCGTGTTCACAAACACACTCTCCGCAGTCGCACACTCCATGGCCTACAAACAAGAAATCTTCATTTATAATAAAAGGCTTTCCACAAAAACACATGAATAAGTCAGAAGCATTCGCATGAAGTTACTCACCTCCACAGAGCTCCCCACGGAAGAGAACACAGGAGTAATTGTCACACTCGCAGTAGGGACCGTAGATGCGCCCAAAACTGGATGCATGACACACACACTGTCCACAGTAGCACTGCCCCTGACCACTGCATATTTCAGACTGATTGTTTGCGAGGCAGTTGCTCAACAAAGTGCTCTCCTCATTGCATTCGCACTGCGCTCCCAGGAAGCCCGGCTGACATATGCACACGCCGCACTGGAAAACCCCCTGGCCTTCAATGCACTGGCTGCTGTCTGACTTTGGAGGCTCACAGTCACAGGAACAAAGGGACTGCACTTCTATCTCCAAACTGTCCTGAAGGCCTACAGGTCTGAGGGAAAAGTGCCGAACTCCTGACAGGCATCCCAGAAGCTCCACAGACACATTGAACACTACCTGAGGAGCAAAAACAAGGAGGGCATCAAATTAAGATCAAACTAAGAACAGACTGCAAATATTCTGCCTGCGAAAAGTCAGCGCTATTAATCCCCACAGCAACGCCATTGATAATTGGGGGCTTTTTCATCTGTTTTAGACAGCACAGCTAAGAGAGAGAGGAAAAACTTCGGATTTGAACCAGCTAAACAAGATCATTAAGCCCTGATGTTGGTGAAAGTAAGTAAACTAGTTCCTCCGTTCTTCTTCTTCTTTCAGCTGCTTCCTTTAGGGGTCGCCACAGCAGATCACCTATCTCCATTTCACGTATCTGTAGCATCGCCCTCTGTTACACCAACCTTCTGCATGTCCTCCTTCACTACATCCATGAATCTTCTGTCATCTTCCTATGTTCCTCCATCTTTAACTTTGTCCAATATATCCACCATCCCTCCTCTGCACATGCCCCCGGAGGAAGCCACCCGAGGGATTGATGAAGTCTTATCTAATCTAAGTTCTTATCCTGTCCTAGCGTGTTTTATGCATTTGTGTTTTGACAGACAAACTGGTTGATTTTTTTTCTCTCTCAGAAATATTGTCTGATCTATCAGTTACAAGTGCTAAAGCCTCAAATTCACCAGGTCTCCCTCTAATCAACATTAGTCTCTGACAAAAAACAACTTAAAAATTTCCAGATTTACACAACACATTCCTATCTGACCCAATCCAAACAATTCTTCAGGTACAACTAAGGCATGAATGTTGACGAGGCAGAGTGCACGTTGTGTTATTTTTCACCTGTCAGTCTGTGTATAGATTTTTTTTTTACATACTTTTACAAGTTTATAAAGCACTGCAGGTCTTGCAAAGTTCTCTGCATACACTAAAATTAAGCTTTTACTGTTGTAGTGAAAGACCGAACACAGAAAGACCTAACACTCTTGAGCTGTTAGGACTGTCTGTGTGTTAGAATAGTCTTTTGTCCCTTCCATTATTTAGTTTCACAGGCGTAACAACAACAGAACAAACACAGCATCCCATTCTCTCTCTGACACACGCTCCAAGTGCAAAAAAATAGCATACAATAATAATCGATACTCTTAATAGTATAATTCCAGCGTTTTGATCAGCACCATGGACAACATCCGGGGTCAGATGTCATGGGAATGAACGCTAACACTATTTTCTTCAGCTAAGCTCCCACAAACTCAAAACAGATTTAGCCTTGTTTCAGTTCGTGAGGAAAAATGTACACTGCATAAAAGCTAGGCTTTGATTCACAAGACAGAACCATGGGCATAGTGGAACTCCTATAGTATGTCCACTTCATCATAACACCATGATTATGAGCTTCCAGTATACTTTAGAGGAGAGGGCCCTCCTACCTTCAGGACCCAGGGATGATGCCCTCCTGATGCCTTGTGAGAATTAATGCCTTTGTTTAGTTTCCTTTAAGCTTTCAACTTTTGTTCACATTTAATCTTAAATATCTACATTTTTTATGTTATGTTTGGTGTTTCACTAGAATTGTTAATAACTGTTCTTGTCTGATGAGATAGTTTAATGAAAGGCACTTCAAAAAATTTTAAAAAATGAAGCAATTTGTAACAACAGCAACTCACCGTCTCTCCTGGTTTGATGTTGGAGCAGCGTTTTAGATCAGGGAGGATAGTTCCATTAGGGCAAACGGTTGTGAAAGACATGTGCAGCTCCTTCGTGGCTCCAAGGACCTCTAGTTCAATCTCTGAGCGAAGTTCCTGGAAAACAGATTATGTGTATTGTGAGCCATATGAGAACACAATGGGCAGCACACCTCGGTACTGATCAGGTTTCTCCTTCAAAAAAAGCAAAAAAAAAAAAAAAGCAAAACTAAGTTAACTAAAATCAAATCAGATTTTCCTTTTGTTCAGTCAAGATGAAGTGGGATTTCCAGCGCTGTCAGATGAATTATACTTTTCACCCTGCATTGACCTGACCTGACACCTCATGTCTAATTCTTTTTTGGGGGGGTGAGTCAGCATCCCAGGTGCGCTGCACTGTATAAAGCACCTGAAGAAAGTGTGACAGCTAACCTCAGCTTGAGAAAATAGTGTGCTTGACTGACTAATGAACTTTGTAACGGCCCGTCTGACTGCTAACAGAGGGCATATTGTGTGCTTCCTGGCTTTAGTGTTGGTAAGGAAGAAGAAAACCGGAGCACTTATGGGATACACCCAGCTGAGGATGGATTAAGTAGATAAAACGCATCTAAAGAGACTTCGCTGTTACTCATCAGAATTACAGGTGAGTGCAAGTACTCAGAGCGTTCCAGTTAAGCACCACATCTACAATCACTGTGATGACAGGGACTCTGCTAGTGCGGCAGAGACTAAATGTGGGTTTAAATGACGCAACCGATGAAGTAATTAGAGGACTGCACAACTACCAGTCATCGCCGCCAAGGGGGATTTACAAAACGACGCAGGGTGGATGAGATGGGCAGAACGAAAACGACCAAGAGTGAGAAAAAAGAGGCAGTGTGCGGGAGAGGGAGGGGAAGTTTAGAGCAAATCAGATTTGGAGGGGGCGAGGAGATGAAACGGTTGGGACAAGCAGAAACATGCTGGCCAACATGCTGATGCAGAGTGTTGGGAGGTAGAGGGGAAAATGTGATAGAAGAAAGAATAAAAGAAGGAAAAGAAATAATAACAAAGGGGTGGAGAAAATAAAAATAGTAACATACCAGTTTGCTATAGATACATTTTCGTGCCTGCACCATTAAATATTACTTGATTTTAAAAAAAAATTGTCTTATGACTTTTACACACACACACACACACACACACACACACACACACACACACAAAGCCACACATCCACTCTGCCAGCACATCCTGATTATCAGGCCCTTTTATTTACTTTGTATGCTGTTACAATCAGTTCCAGGATGTTCCGCGAGTCTTTCGCCACGACTCCAACAGTGGCACCAGGTATGAGCTCTGCATAGTTCTAAGAGACACAGAAAACAAAACAAAAAAAACAGATAAACAGTAATGTCACTGTTACAAATACGGGAAGCTCATCACCACACATCTTCCCTAAAAGAACAGTACGAAAAGGAGTGTGGAAGAGAAACGGGGCCAGTTGTAACAAGTTGAATGCAACTCAGAAGATAAATATGCTAACCTCACAAACACTTGTGTTATTCAGCTCTCTAGTTTGATCTCTTCTAACAGGGAAAAAAACTAGGGAGCTGTTACCATGTAGTTGTCTTTCTGGTCTTCTGTCACTGCAAATATCAGCAAGATGTTGTTGTCCACCAGCTTATCAATCAGCTGACCAAGAGTTGGATATTCCTGAAAAAAAAAAGGTTACATTTCTAAGAGGTTTCAGGTGATTATTTACCATGAGTTACCACAGTGTTAGAGGAGAAAGCCAAATAATAATGAAAAATAATAATCCTAGATGAATCAAATGATAAAATCAGGTTTTACATGCACTGTGGACTTTGAGTATTCATTGTTGGCATCCAGGTGACACTGCCCGTCATTGGGAATCACAATACCGGCCAGCCTGCTGTCCATCCCGAAGTGTGAGTTGCCATCGCTGACAAACACCAGCAAACGCATGGAGTCGTTCCTCCAGCCGATCTTGTCCTAGCAGGAGACACACAGCTGCTCTGAAAAAAACAGTTGGCGAGGTGGCGTCACAAACGAACGGCCGGCATCTTTGGAACCTTGAAATGGGAAATGTTACCCCACAAACGGCTGCTTGCATGATGGCGTCGAAACCACACTCCGTGTCGTCAATGTTTGCAGATATATGCTGCACGGCGATTATCTCGTTGAACTTGCTGGTGTTGCTCGTCAGAGACAAGACGTGCTTGTAGCCAAACGTCGGTAAGCAGGTGTTGTCTATACGGCTGTAATGTAACAAGACATTAAAAGCGAGCGTTAGAAGAGTAAGAGTGTCAGATTTACAAGATCAGAGCATTTTAAAAAAACAAAAAGAAACAAACTTCTACTCATGTTTAGATTTTTATTTTAATGTAAACCTGCACGGGTTGGCCAGTTCTTCTTCTGTGATCTTGATGAAGGGCAACAAGGGTTTCTCCACAAAAGAGCCAAAGCCCATTCGAAATTTACTTGTGAGCTTCGCCATTTCTTTTGACAAAGTAGAGCCCAAGTCTTTGATCATCTTCAGATCGTCGATCATGGATGCTGACAGGTCCATCAGGTAGTACATGTCCACAGGATAGTCCTCTTTGTGTTGAACCTTCACCTGGAAGGTCACCTCACTGCCTGTGTGAGAAACAAAATCAGGCCACGTTTTATCTCTCTGAACTCAAAAAACTGCTTCAGAAGACAAATCGTCACTTCAGAAGATGTCCGACTGCATACCAGGTCGGAGCTTGAGGGACATTTTTTGAGGGAATATCTGTGTGCTATTAGTGCTGCCCATCTTCTTCCCAAGTGGCTGATCCTGGAGGATCTGGTGTTTGGAAACAGGGAACTGCAGCAGGTCCCTGGCACATCCCTTTTCCAGTAAGACATCCAGTGTGTCACATCTTTGTGTGACTGAAAACCAGTCTGTGAAATTCTGACAAACAAAGGGGAACATGTGACAAGTAGCAACCTCAGTTTGCAGGCTGTTTTACAGCAGGCCATAAAGATTATTACTTTGTCATCAGCGTCATCATGTAAATCAAACACGAGAAGATATTTTGCAAAAAATCACTTCACTTTAAATGTGACTGTCTTCTCGTATAGCTGCTCACCTCCTGTGTGCACCAGGCGCACTGGGGGCTGAGTTGCAGACAGTCGTCACAAGTCACAGCACTGCCGGCTGAACACAAACCTGCTGCACAGCACATAAACAGGTAAGGGTTGTCAGCACAGACCAGAGTCCAACACTAGAAAAAGTCTGCATTTATGGTGTCATTTTTTATTTACTTATTGATATGATTATTTTAATCTGTGTGTTTATTCTAATCCTTAGTAGTAGTAAATGTGTAGTCCAGTGTAGTAAATGTAACATAATTCTTGGTTTCAAATTTTAATACCTTCTCACAATAAAACATCCCAACCACTCTTCAGTGCCAAGACAGCATTGTTGACTTGCTCTTGAGTGACTACTACTTTGCAAATGAGCTTTTAAAAAGAAAGCCAGGACTTCAGCTTACCCTCCACGGCGTTGATCCAGTACCGGAGAATCAGGCTCAGCAGTAGAAGCCCCATGAGTCCGTGAGGTTACTGGTTGATAAGAAACACAAGGTGAATGTTTCAGGTTATTTCATAGCGCGTTAACAGGAGTGAAGCCTATCCAGCGTCATGGCTCCTCTCTTCAGCCAAACGTAGGCTACAATAAGAGAGGAGTTTGCTTTCCACCACCTGGATAGAGGAGGAGGAGGAGGTGAGGGGCTGCCTCTACCTGCCCTGCCTTTTTAAGTCAACTTCCGTCCAGGTGAGAACGCGAGGCGGGCGCGAGGAGAAAACAAACCGCAAGCAAACCGCTAGCTGATGTCTCCCCTTCTTATTTAGCTGTTCGTTAATGAATCAGGTTTGTTCCCACCGTCTGTGTCTGTGTATTAGTAAGGAATAAGATAGGAAATAGGAATTCTTAGTTAAAAGTAACGTGAAGCCAAAAATAAACGGCATTGCAAATAAATTAATAGGTAAATAAAAATATTAAAAAGGCCTATTTTTCTCCTAGAAATAATTAGCTTATTATTTCAAGCTAAATGCGTACTTCCCCTTTAATATCAGGAGGTAAAATCTTACAGTACATCACAGATTCAGGCGTGACAAATGTGTAATTGAATGTCTTTTCTACTTTAAAAAAAAATATATATATATATATGTATATAAAGTAGGTAAAATTAGCTCCACCTTGCATCAGCTACAGTGTTTCTGTAGTATGAATGGCCTTTAAAAAATAGTCGTGTTTGTGTTATGTAAGTGTGAGTGACTTTCTTGTTAAGGCTAGATTGCTTGTAAATTTGAAACTGAAGTAAAAGTACAACATTCTGTTCTAATGAAGCATTAAATGTGGCTTAATACTTCATATTAAGCTATGCCATTTTGTTATGAGCTAATGATAGCAAACTAGTGTTGCTTTTGAATGTACTCTCTTTCTCTCTGTTAGGCCATCCCCTTGAAGTCTCTGTGCTTTTAAAAATGTTGTTGTTCTCTGTGAGGCCCTGGCGGCGCACCTTGTCACTCTGGATTTGAAATATGAGATTGTTTATACCCTCATTACACTGCTGCTACAGTGTAATAGGCTAGAATTAAGCTACAGTCAAATGGGATCGCTGAAATTGTGTGTGGAGAGGAATAATAAAGTGCAGACAGGGCACGCCATGAGCAAATAAATCCTTCAAAACTCTATTCTGTGGGCTCTATAACAGAAGTTATGTTAATATTTAACACAGCGACTCAGAGAACATGAGTCAGTGTCACTGTCTCACAAGAATTTTCCAGCTTGACGATTAACTCACGATGAAAACCAGGCCTATCGCAAGATATGAAATATGATCAGTGTGTGTGTGTGTGTGTGTAATAGAAGGGGAGGAGGGGTGTGGCTGAGTAGGTGTTGAACTATTGACAGCTGCAGTGCAGATATCCCCGCATGTCCTAAGTTAGAGGAATCTCACAATTCAGCACCACACCCCTTCTGAATCTGTGAGACCCATCTGCCACCCCGAGTTAAACCCCACCTCCACTCCTCTTACAGCAAACCCTCTCACCCCTTAATGCCTCTTCTCCTTTTGTCTTTCATTGGCTCTCTTCTCCCAAGTTCTTTGTGTTGTGATCCATATTTTCCAGTAGCCTCTGCCATTTAATTCATGCCTCCTTCAGCTTAATTCTTCCCTTGTCTCACACTTCACTCCTCTCCTCTGAATTCCTCAACATGATGCAGTCCAACACCACTTTTGTAGCCTGTCATGTCCTGCTGTTTGTCCTGTGTGAGAGGTGTACTGCAGCATCACTGCCTCTGCACCTCACCTCGCTGTCTCATGTCTCAAAATGACTTTAAAACCTGTAGCCCTTCACTAGCATTTCAGAGATATTCAGGCTTTTTAAACCCAGTGGGACTCTTTAAACCACAAAGTAGCATTCTCAATGAGTATCAGGCCAATCAATATTTACAAATTCAGAGATCTTGTTCCCCTATCTCTCTTCTCTCAGCATTATACGCAAGTGTAATGCTGCAGTGAGCCGACTCACCTTCAAGGCTGTCCTCTGATAACATGCTGTCCCGTCTCAGGCTTTCTTCCTTGACATCAAGTGAAAAATGGAGAGAAGTGGAGAAGCATCAGCCCAGCACATTCAGTCCTATTGTATCCCAGCAATTGGCAGAGTAACAGTAAACCTATTGTAACGGCGCCCTTTATGAAGCATGGCGCTAGGATGACCCTGCTGCCCATGCTCCTTGGCTCATGTGTGTGTGCGCGCTCGTGTGAGTGTGTGTGTCTGGAAGTTTGTAAGTATGTGTGCATGTATGCATTCTGGGGTCGTGTGTGGGTGTTTGTACAAGCTCTAGCTTGCATGTGTGTGTGTGTGTGTGTGAGTGTATCTGTGTGTATGTGTAGGGGGAGGCCGCAACGACAATGAGTGACGGTAACAACTGCTGGCTGTGAGACCTCCAGATCCAGCTTCTTTATTAAGAGTCGATCTGACTGATGTGCTAGTGTTGCACTCTAGAGGCTAAACCCTTTATGAACTGGATCACAACACTTCTGACTCAAAGACCTTGTGATTAGTCAGGATTCTGCGTGTGTGCTTGTGTGTGTGTGTGTTTTGCTACAATTACTTCCTGCAGTGAGGAGGAGGAGGACGCGAGTGTCTAAGAGAAGGAGTGTCAGAGCGTAATACAGCCTCCTTCTTGCAGTGGTATGGTAGGAATGCAGGTGTACATGGATATGTTAGTGAGAAAAATAATAACTGTAAGTTATTACTGTTAAGACAACAACAAAGGATTCTTTTCTTTGAGCCTCATTTCTGATCTAAAGAGTCTACAAACAAATGCACTTGAGCTGAATGCTAATCATCACCATATTACTAAATTTCACAGAATGCCATGTAATGTGAGGCTAAAAAGAGGCTAAAAAGTCAACCTCATCAGGGGGTTCAGCAAATATAAATACAAAAAATATAAAAACGTCTGAGCATAGGATAAGCTGCGGTTTGCGTCGAGATTAAGAAGGGATCAGGTCACAGGAGTGGTTGTTCCTAATTATGATCCATTCCAGAAGTCTGAATCGCTGTTGGTCTTGAAGTCTGCTTACTGACAAAACAATACCCATTGTCTGCCAAACAAAACTGATGTGAGGTGGTCAAGCCGAGGAGCTGTGCTGACATGTACATCAACAGTGTTTCTTTCTCTTGACAGTAGTCTGATTCACTGTGGAAAAAACTGAAACATAAAGTGGAGATTATTCTTTTGATATTTAACTGGATGGTACATCAGTGTGAATGTCCTTAGGTTGAATACCCATTCAATCCACAATTCACAGAAGGAAAGCTTTGGAGTTCCAGCTTTTCCCCCGTAATAAATGAAATCACTATTTAAAAACTGTATTTAGATTTTACTCTGGTTATTTTTGTCTGATATTATTATTTTTGTTTGATGATATACAAAATGTATGTAGGGTGACAAATATGCAACAGAACAAGAAATCAGGAAGGAGCACATAGTGTTTCACAGAATTGTACATGTTATTTTTTTGCTGGACCATTGTTTGATTTGAATGAAAAAGAAGAGAATACATACATATATATAAACTACCAGTCAAAAGTTTGGACACACCTTCTCATTTAATGGTTTTTCTTTGCTTTCATGACTATTTACATTGTAGATTCTCACTCAAGGCATCCAAACTATGAATCAGCACATATGGAATTATGTAGCAAACAAAGTGTGAAATAACTCAAAACATGTTTTATATGTTAGAGTTTCAAAATAGAAACCCTTTGCTTTGATTAGTGCTTTGCACACTCTTGGCATTCTCTCGATGAGCTCCATGAGGTAGTCACCTGAAATGATTTTCCAACAGTCTTGAAGGAGTTTCCAGAGATGCTGAGCACTTGTTAGCTGTTTTGCATTTCATTCTGCGGTCCATCTCATCCAAAACCATCTTGACTGGGTTTAAGTCAGGTGACTGTGGACTGTGAACCATGCACATAGAGACCATCCGTTCACCTTTTCTGCGTCACACAAAGACACGGCAGATAGAACGAAAGATCTTTAGACCAAAGTACAGTTTTCCACTGGTTTAATGTCCATTCCTTGTGTTTCTTGGCCCAAACAAATCTCTTCTGCTTGCTGCTTTCCCTTAGTAATGGTTTCTTAGCAGCTATTTGACCATAACTGCCTGATTCGCACAGTCTCCTCTGAACAGTTGATCTAGAAATGTCTCTGCTACTGGAACTCTGTGTGGCATTTATCTGGGCTCTAATCTGAGGTGCTGTTAACTTGAGATTTTGGAGGTTGGGGACTCAGATGATTTTATCTTTGGCAGCAGAGGGGACTTTTGGTCTTACTTTCCTGGGGCGGTCCTCATGTGAACCAGTTTCGTCATTGGGCTTGATGGTTTTTGCAACTGCATTTGGGGACACATTTAAAGTTGTAGCAATTTTCCAGACTAATTGACTTTCAGTTCTACAAAGTATTGATGGACTGTCGTTTGTCTTTACTTTGCTGATTGGTTCTTGCCATAATATGAATTCTAACAGTTGTCAAATAGGGCTGTCAGCTGTGTACCAACCTGACTTCTGCACAACACAACTGATGGTCCCAACCCCATTATGAAGGCCAAAGGTTTGCATCATTGTCAACAAAACAAAGGGAATATAAAATATGAAAGTTTTTTGTTTGCTATATAATTCCATAATCTTGCTTCATATACAGTATGTGATGTCTTCAGTAAGTATCTACAATGTAGAAAGTAGTAAAAACATACATATGTATATGTATACATATATGTATATATGCAAACCTGTCAGAAGGTGCTTCTGGCTATACTTTTAATGGCTAAGTATTGTGACTCAGCATGGGGAAATGTATAAACATGACTTGCATAACAGGAACTAGGAATGAGAAATGATAACAAATGTTCCCTTCAATGCTTTGTTTATAATAGCATTTGACGTTTGTGACACTTCTGAAAAATGTTGTTGACTACATTTGGAAAACCGCAATTCATCATAAGTCCAAATTTTCTACTTTAGGTTTGGTTTCAGCTGTGAAACAATAAAGGCGTTATTTATTTAAGACAATGATTACTCCTCTGACTATTATTAGTTCTTTATAATATTAATATTTTAACTATTCATAAACAAAATAAAGTTTGGCTCAGATGTGGAAGTATATTTTAAATATAAACTATTTTAAGAATTGAGCTCAGCTGATGTTTAGGCAAAGCAGCAGAACAATCCATCATAAAAATTTTTTTGAAAGTATTCAGACTGAACAACAACAAATTAACACTTAGACCCCCGGAGAGCAGTCATTTTGGTTTTCTACCTTAGACCCCTGCGGAGTCATCATTTTGCGTTTCTACCTTTAAAAGCCGGAGAGCAGTCAGTCAAATGCTGGAGTCATTCATATGTATATTAGGTCGTTACCTAGGAATTCTAGGTAACGACCTAAGGTAACGACCTAAGGTAACGACAAGGTACCACATGTGTACCTGTAGCAGTGAACACATCGCACAGTGGCCTGATTTTTTTTGCATCTGTGTACTTGGATTTTAGGCCGCAAGCCACCCAAAACTTGCTCCATGCACCACTCAGCAGGCCATTTGTAAATATGTGTACAAATGGTTGGTTTTTTGTACTGTTTTTATCAATAAATGTCAGCAACAAAGGACATACACCCATGTGTGTTGATTTCTCCCTAAGATGGCAAACTGAAACACTCCAAGTTGGTGACTTTTGGAGATTTGTTTCCCTGGATGATTGAGAATGCATCAAGATGAAACACAAAAGGAAGCTCACCGCTTTTAGCAGCTCCCCCACCCCTCAATCACTCAGTGAGTGATTGAGGGGGTGGGGAGTGGAGTGTTTCAGTGTTTCAGTTTGCCATCTTAGGGAGAAATCAACACATGTCCTTTGTATGTCCTTTGTTGCTGACATTTATTGATAAAAACAGTACAAAAAACCAACCATTTGTACACATATTTACAAATGGCCTGCTGAGTGGTGCATGGAGCATGTTCATTGGTTCATGGACCTCCCTGAACTAATGGCATTTATGGCAGCAACAAAAGCGGTGAGCTTCCTTTTGTGTTTCATCTTGATGCATTCTCAATCATCCAGGGAAACAAATCTCCAAAAGTCACCAACTTGGAGTGTTTCAGTTTGCCATCTTAGGGAGAAATCAACACACATGGGTGTATGTCCTTTGTTGCTGACATTTATTGATAAAAACAGTACAAAAAACCAACCCATTTGTACACATATTTACAAATGGCCTGCTGAGTGGTGCATGGAGCAAGTTTTGGGTGGCTTGCGACCTAAAATCCAAGTACACAGATGCAAAAAAAATCAGGCCACTGTGCGATGTGTTCACTGCTACAGGTACACATGTGGTACCTTGTCGTTACCTTAGGTCGTTACCTAGAATTCCTAGGTAACGACCTAATATACATATGAATGACTCCAGCATTTGACTGACTGCTCTCCGGCTTTTAAAGGTAGAAACGCAAAATGATGACTCCGCGGTCAATTTAGCCAATTTAGCTTCCACTTCCACCATTTGACTGCTCTCGGTTTTATAGGTAGAAAGGTAGAAGCCTGGGGATGCTAGTATTAATATAGTTTCCCTATTAAAATAACTTATGATGAAGAAAAATGTTGCTTGTGTCTGTTCTATATATTGTTTTACTGATGCCTGAAGCATCATTTTACTGTTTTACTTGGTCATGCTTTTATCAGTAACTGAAACTAACGATGAAGTCAACATGATAATCCAGAGCCCGCACCTCGTATAAACTTAACAATTATGTATATATATTAGAATTTTATTGTTAATAACTAAAAGATAATAATAATAATTTTTGTTCTACCCTCAAATAGTCGCCGTTAGCTAGCTTCTGCTAGCTTCTTGGTCCTGGAATGGATTTCTTTTTGTTTTTGATGCGACTTTAAAACTGATAAGATCTGTTGATCTTATCTGGGCTGTACCAGTGAAACTCATTTTTCTCAGTGTAAAGATGTTTAACTACACATTTCATCCCATTTGAGAAAAAGTAGTGCAGTTTTAACAGTTAAGTAAATGTATTAAATAAAGGAATTTGTCACCACAAATAAATAAATGTATACAATTATATAGAATTAATTACCGGTATATATAAAGTTCTGGTGGCTCACTAGCCAGACTAATTGACAGAAAATGCCACCTGTGTTTTTATTGTTACTATTTATCTATTACTAATTACTTTTTTTTGAATGGCAATGGGGAAGGTCTTTATCAGCAAGAGAAAATATAAAACTCAAAAAGATATAACAAATATATGATCTCCTACACATTTTCCAACACTCTCTAGTGGTCTGGATTGGAGTCTTTACCAGGCTTATTCAGCCTGATTGCATCTCACTTTTTGGATACATGCGTATTTCACTAAATGCATGAAAACAAGTACTGTAGGAGTCCTCTCTGTGTCTATGCCCCAACTCTGACCTTGGTCTTTCCCAAGGGATCAGTGCCATGTGTCCTCTCAGCTGTGGAGAACGAGAGAGAGGGATTTGTCTTGTATGTGACGTTCAAAGGTCTGATTCCCTTACAATAAGCATTTGATTGACATGAGAGTGTGCATGAACTACATGTATGTATGTATATATATATGTATATATATTCCTGGTGTGGGGGTCGGAGAGGTGTGGGGATGATGGCTAATCTTGCACCCTGAGTGCTTTTGATCCCTTCAACTAGTAAGAGATGCGCGCATGGTGCCTTTATGTCCCTGGGATCAGCTGTGCTATGTCAGAGCTTAAGAAGGGAGATCCGGCACATGAGTGAGACTACAAAGCCTGTGTGCCCGAAATAGTGCAGGAAAGGGCTGGGGTGCGAGCACACATGTCGCACTTGTTGCTAATTTGATCCAGTATAAGTTGCATAGATAAGAGCAGACTTACAGTCCTTCAGAAATGATCTCTGGATTCAAATATGCTGGGCAGCTTTGGCTCTCAGCACCCTCTGCTGGCAGATAATTGGTACGGCCTCCACTCAAGGGTTTGAGTCCAGTTTACACCAGGGATGTCAAACTCATTTTACATCAAGAGCCACATACAACGTAGTTAAAGACATTTAACTACACATTTAATCTCTGAGATATCTTTATGTAGTAAGAAGTGCAATCTCAACAGCACGTCTCAGTTTTTCTACATGATAAATGTGTAAAACTAGAGGAAATGGTTCTGGTAGCTCACTTTTATAAAACGGAAAAGTTTTTGCTGATTGATAAAGTATTTCCTTTTTTTCTTTAAGCTAAATTTCTATAGTATAAAATGAAGAACAAGTACTTTTCTGTCATTTAATTCTTTATCTATTACTTAACTACATTTAGCTGTGTGGTATGATGGCTGCGGGGAAGCTATTTATCAGCAAGAAAAGCTATAAAACCTATAAAAATACAGATAAAACTCCAGAATTTATGCCCTCCAACTTTTTTTTCCCCAAAGCCATCCAAGTTTTTCCCAGGCTGATTCTGGTCCCAAGGCATTATATTGTACCAATTTATATTAATTATGATAATCTATTTACTTATCAAGCACAGTGCTCGTCAGTAACTCAAATGTGGCAATTAAGGAATCCTTGTGAGTGTAACATACCTAAAAAGTCCAGTTAGCTAGCCCCAAAGTACAGTACAGTACAGAGACATGAACTAATGCATATAGTCTGTCAGTCAATTAAATTAAAGAGATCGGAGTCACGTCTGAAAAAGAAAAGAGCATTTTATTCAGCACTGGTTTTGTTCCAAGGAAAGAGCAAGGGGAAACTTGAGTATCAGCAGAAGGTGGTAGGTGAAAGCAATGATTTTTTTTCTCTCTTTTTTTTCCATTTTTTTTTTCCAGCAACAAATGTTCAGTAAGGGAAAGTACACTCAGGTAAGGCCTGGCTGTATTTTTCTACGTTGAGCATTTAATGCTTACTATTGATTGTGGGCAGATGGACGGTGACCATACATCTTTTACCATTTCTCTTGTCTCAGAGTGGTGTAGAGGTAATACATCGTAAATGTCAAGAAGAAAAGCTAAGAACACAATAAAACTGTTCACTTTTGGCCCTGAACGTATATAATTTACACATCGCATTCTTAAGAAACACATCAGCTGTGTGATTTCACCATCCATCTAATATTAATGAAATACCGCAGTTTTTATTTTATTTTTTAAGTATTCCATCCATGATTGTTGCATATATTTTGTTTTGCACAAGGCAAGGCAAGATTTGGGTTTTTTCCCCACTCACCCAAATAGTTTGAGATCTACATTGTTAAATGGAGAGTAACCAAAATTGTAATATTAATTTTGAAGAGGGAAAATAGAAGTCAGAGGCAGAAGAATGCAGCAAATTCCTGTTGCCTGCATTTCATATGTTTCAAGCACACACTAAGCCATCTACTTTACAGAGAAACCGGCATTTGTCTTGCTTTCGAAAAGGGGGAGCATCGCACCTGAAAAGCACTCGTAATGTCTAGAAAAAGAAAACCCGGAACAGAAGCAATGACAAATACGGATGGAAAATAAAAAATAAAGCACAATGTTGCCTTTTTGAAGATCAGAAAGTGTAATGCTGCATGTGGGAGAAAAATGTTAGAAGTCCTGTTTAGCCAGCTCCTGAGCGTGGCTTCTGTTCCCCTTTTGTCCACCCTGGTGAAAAGGGGCTTTACCTGCAAACCCCACCACCCCAGCGGACACTAGCAGAACCATGAGGTAGATTATGGGTCAAAGTGACCACAAGAGAAACAAAAACCCTCCCAAAAACGATGCCGCCTGGGTGAGATACATGCAATTTCATAAAAGTACAGCTCTCGTTTCAAATCATGTCATGAATTTGTTGTCGTTTTGTTTATTTATTTATTTATTTTTGTAAAAAAGGAAAGAAGAATATAAGGATTTCCCTTGCTCTGAGTTTGTCACCGTTCTCATTTCTCAGTATTGCCGCGGGACTCTCGTTTTCTTTATTGCTACCAGACGACTAGATAGCGCAACGCTCAATGGAAAGCCTCGTGATTCCACACACACCGTTTTGCTCAGTCCGATAAGAAATGTGACACCTGATCAAGTTTTGATGAAACAAGGTTGGAGAATGTTCGATATCACGTAAGGAAGGCACCTTTTCCAATAGTAAATTCCTAATGAAATGGTCACTCGTATCAACTGTCGAGTGCAGTTTTCTGAGCTGTGGCAAAGTCGAAAACCAAAGTGAAGTTATTTTAAAACTTCAAAATTCTGTGCAAACGAGGTCTGCAAGGGTTTTGTCCATATACCACAAATAAAGGAACTATCAAATCATAGAAACCTTGATGGGATAAGGAGGGAGGGAGTGATATCTCCATCTCATGCATTTATTACCACATCGTACTTGAATGGGGAAGGTGAGGGTGAATGGGCACAGGTGGGGATGGAGGGAGGTACGGGGGTCATCTGGCAAGTGTTTGAGAATCCTTGAAAAAGAGGAAAACAAGAACAGCATTTTGTATTTTTTTTTTTATCAAAATAAATCTTGGTTTTTCTTTTTTTTTTCTTTTCTCCTTTTCCCCCACTTTGACTCGCTGGCTGCTTGAGTCTGTTTACACTGTCCTCATTTTCAACTACAAATGTTGGGGCTGTGCAAAAAAAAAAAAAAAAGTTCATGTTTCTGGTCCAATCAGCAGACAGAGACTGTTATTCCTGTGATGTCATCAGCAACTTCCCACCTGCCAACTGGCTCACAAAACAGGAATGTGGCCTGAAAGACAAAGAAAGCAGAAACAGGGATATAAAACTTGATTTTTTTACTAAACAGGGGCCACAAAAATACACTCAACTGCTACAGGTAAGCTGCTCCTTAACGCAAATATCTACCGTATTTTCCGCACTATAAGGCACACTTAAAATCCTTTAATTTTCGCAAAAATCGACAGTGCACCTTATAATCCGGTGCGCCTTATGTATGAATTCTGGTTGTGCTTACTGACCTCGAACCAATTTTATGTGGTACATGGTGCTCAAAAATCTGTCAAAAAATGTTTTAGTACGACCTTGGTAAGCTACGAAGCTGCACCGGATTGTCAGAGCATTACGGCTCCCGTAGTCAGGAGCCTTGCGGAGTAATCTGGGTCCAAAACTCCGTTCGCTTCGAGTTAAAAACCCTCTAAATTCTATCATCTTTAATAACATGATCAGCGTTTCTGCTTTACCGGGTGTAACAATTAAGTTTAACATCCAGGCATCCATAAAACCAGAATTTATTAAATTTAATGGAGTTAGAAATTAGCAGGAAGTTAGCTCGCTAGTTTCTACCTAAACATGATATAGCATGTTCTGACTGAGAGATTGCTGAAAGAATTAAAACGTACAGCTCTGCTATCACTTCCAACATAAATGAAGACAGAAAACTACACAGCAGTGACTTTTGCAGGGTTACTGAAGTTGGGCTAGCTGGTATACAATGATGTGCTACGTGATCGATAGCAACACAGCTATGTTAGCATAACATTAGCACAGTGAAGCTGGAGGATGAATGCTAACTTTTTCCACTCTATAAAAGTTAACGTGAGGGTTCCCGATGGTTAGGGACAAATGCAATCGCATTGCAGGTTGCTGTAAATGGACCAAACTTCAGTCAGGAGAACAACTGAGATAATCCATCCACAATAAGAGGTTAGTCATTAATATACTGCAACAACATGAGAATAGAGCAGCTGTGAGTGAATTCAACATTAATGAATCAGTGGTACGGAAGTGGAGGAAGCAAGAAGAATGATTTGAGTAAAGTTTGACTTATCTGATTTTGTTTCGCTTAATGCGCTTTATAATCCAGTGTGCCTTATTAATGAAAACAGACCCGTTCATCAACAGTGCGCCTTATGGTCCGAAAAATACGGTAATTGGCCAATAACATAAATAAATTGACTGTACTCAAATGCAATCCGCAGTCAACTTATTTCCATGTGAATATGACAAAAGTGAAGAAACTGGCTGTGATGCTATCATGTTAATATGGAACCAAAAACTCAGAGGGATGTTTCCAGCAACCTGTTGAATCTGTGCCACAAAGACTCAAGGCAGCTCTGAAGACACAAGGGGGTCCAACCTGGTACAGACAAGGTATAACTAATGAAGTGGCCGGTGTATATCTATAAACACACTTGAGATTTGAACAACAATCCTGAACATCCAGGTGCAATTAATCACTACAGAAGTCTCGTCGTTCAGGGTGGCCCATTGCTAGCTAAACCATAGGGTCGCACAAACACAACAGTCAAAGGTTAAATGGAGCATAGCAGACATAACAATCACAACCGACTAAATTAACGATTTGAACTCAGACATATACATTCCCACGAGTCTGTAATCTACATTTTCAGTATGTTTTTGATCTTGTGGCAAATAAGTCAGTAGGGCTTGACTCAACATGCCTTTGCTCAGGTTTTATGTGTGCACTCAGGCAGCCGAGTGAGGCCCAACTCTTAACTTAATAAAAGAGACAACTGTAACAGAGCAGCATATATAAACATTTACAGTACTTTGCATTCGCACAAAGGTTTCTCCTCAAAAGTTTTGTATCATTACAGAAATTCGTCCTGGGGCTTTATTAGGATGTCCACTTGACTGTTACGTGTCAGTGAAGCTGCTGAAGTAAACACTCATGTTGTTGAGATTTACGTTGGGAAACCAAAGCATACCTGCATCTACTTGCTGAGTTGACTGTAAGGGGACGAGTTGTTGGAGGAATCCACTTGCTGCGGCGTGCCATTTTCCTGAAAAGCAAAACATCAGCATCTCTCATTTAGAAACTGATAATAACCATCCTCGCTGTGTGTGCATTGAGATAATTGATAGCTTTAGAGGACAAGCACCTCAAAAACAATCCAGGCCCTTTTGAAGGACAGACCACTGGACTGGCTGTTGCAATTTTGTTTAAGCGGTTTATTGTTTTAAGACGTACGACACCGTTAAGGCAGAAGCTGAACATTTTAAATGAAAAGTTGAATATGATAAAGATAGAATAAACCTACCGGTGCTGCCTGCATGGCGGGATACTGAGGCATGTAAGCTCCCTGGACACCTGGGTTTGCTGGAATATACTGAAAGATAAGAAAAAAATGGAAATAATTTAATAGTATATTACCTATGGAGATGCATGAAAGACAGTTAGGCAACTCAACTTTATGTGCACAGCATTTTCAGGATGACAACGTTGATCCACAGGAGAATGTCAAAGTTTGGTTGACAAAAAACCTCCTGTAACTGTAGCAGTTAGAAGCTTGTGTTATGTTCTTATAACTGCATCTGGGGACATGCAGATGCAGTTATAAGAACCAAAAACATCTGTCACGTATGAATGAATTTAACTTCCTTAAAGTGCAAAAAAAAAAAAAAAAAAAAAAAAAAGTGTCTTCTGGCTCAGGCTCAATAATAAAAGTGTGCCAAAGGCCCTTTTTAAAAAAATTAACATGACCTTATTTGCAATAATGACACACACACACCACACACACTCACAAGGTGCAATTGCCAGCTATACTACAGCTGGTAATAACCAAAAATAAAGATTTCATCTTGCCAATTCACAGATATCTGTGCACAGTGTTGCAATCATAATCATAATTGCCTCTAGTGTGCTGTTTAATGGTAGCATAGATTTCATTTGATTAGTGCTGTGTGTGTGTGTGCATGAGAGATGGAAGATATCCCAGAATTCCACTCACCGCTCCAGTGTTTCCCAATGACAGCTGGCCCATCTGCTGAGTCATCATGGCTGTTGGGTGCAGTGACATGGAGGGATCCACAGAGGGCGACATCACAGAGGCCTGAAAACACAAAGTGGCTCAGTTTTGTGGCACACATCACATGAGTCAAGTCATTTAGATAAAAACAGCAACACCACACAGGAAAGGCAGTGATTGGTACAAAAATAACAAGTGTTACTCTCTGACATATATACGGGTCAGCACAGGCCAGCGAGCTGGGGAAAAGGACAGGCTTTCGAAACACATCCGTAACACTAACTGTGACGGTGTAGTAGTTTCAGGTCGAAAGAAAACGCTGCACATTCAGAACATTGTCTTCTATGCTAGTAAATTATGCAGAAGGTGTGGTGTTGCCAGCTCTAGCCAGTTTTCAGATGGAGTATTGCTTTAAACATGATGCCCTCAGGGAACGGACCATTTCCTAACAAAAAAAAAAAAAAAATGGGGGAGGGGGCAGATCAGCAGAGACACTTGTTCCACTGGAAACCATCTGTTGGAAGAGTCAAAGAGTCACAAGACTGTCTCTGCTTCAGGCATTTCCTGCTGGATCCAGAAAGCGGGAGAAGGGGGGGGAGGGCAGTGGCTGGAAGCCTCTTTAGTTGTTCCATTTCTCTTTCATACGCAGTCCAACACACACTTAAAGCATGCAGCGGCTATTTCCCAGAACTTGTCTCAGCCTCTGGCCTTCTCATGTGTTTGGGGAAGTTTTGTAGCTGGACTTGTCTGCATCAGCAGAACAGGGGGAATAAAGTGACACTGTGAGCGGCTATGAGCTCAGAAGTTTAGCTGCAGTGGCACCACACACCCATTTCCTGTGCACAGAACACGACGCAGTTTATAAAGCCGTGGCTGCAGCTGCCTTACCGGGTGTTGCATGATGTATGGTTGATGTGCCACCCAAGAATGACTCTGCACCTAATGACGAGAGAGGCAGAATGAGAGACAGATGCAAAGAAAGAGGATGAAAGCAGCAAAACGTGTCGCCCATTTACAAATGCAAAACAATTTATCTCATCTCCACCTCAGTAGTTTTATTTGTGGACTGTATAAGAGTAGATCTGCACAATTTACAGTTCAAAAGTAATGGATCATTTGAACCTTTGGCCATTTAAGAATTAATATATATGACAAAGAAACTAGGATGCATACTAGGATAGAAATTGAATGATTCTAACAGTCTGAATCACAAGCCACAGGCGAATCAGCATAAACGCCATCTATCATCATAAAGACAGCACACTCCTGCTCAGACATAAGAGCCCCAGTAATATCCAAAGCCATCATCTTTTTAAGTAAAAGCCTGGTTGCTTCTCTTGCGTGGCACTAAGCACACCAGTGGCTTCATAACTCCAGTTCTGCCTTCAGTACTGAGCCTAATCATCTCCATTAAGGAGTTCATATGCCTTACTAACAGCCTGGGTGAGGTCCACCCTACTTCTGCTCAACTGGTCTTTTCCCGAAAACCCTTTTTTACAGTTTTTTATAAGCTTAAGCTGATTTGTTGTTGTAATCAGCTGCCTTCCTCGTTTAACTGTAAATGTAAGCCTGTTAGATGTTAAACAGTTATCATTTAAATTTGGTATGGGCAATATACAGGAAAGCTCTGGCAGTAGAAGATCATAGTGTTGCAAATGTAAAGGCATTGCTTTCTTGGAAACAGGTTAAGAATCTATTGGAGTTCGTGATTAACTCCTCACGTGATCCGAGTATCTACTACACAGCTCTTAAAACTCTGAAGTGAATTTATCTGCGACCATCTGGCAGACGGCTGGTGAAAAAAAAAAAAACTCAAATCAAAACTTAAATTTATCCCTCCTGTGCAAGTGACAGACCTTTTCAGTGGTTTGAGGTATTTTCCACACAGAATGTCATTCATTAAAACTCTTTGGCAACAGGAAGGAAGACGTGAGAATTCAGAGAAACCTTGACTCAGAGATGATGACTGTGCCTGCTCAAATGATGAGTTTGTTCCAGCGAACTCCTAAGCTTACTGTCAGATAACACGAGCTCTGTTCACACATTAAAAAAAATGCAAAACCACATGGAGCTTCCAACGTCTGAGGCAGCCCAGGAAAATTACATTCATCCATCTATCTTAACTGATTTAGGATGTGGGGGTTGGAGGGGTGGAGCCTATCCCGGCAAGCATTGAGCAAGAGGTGGGGTACACAGTGACTAGGCTGCCAGTGTAAGTTGCATATACAAGCAAAAGGATCCACCAGCCCACACACTGTAACCTCAAATGTGGAATACAGAGGAGCGGACAAGTATCGAGAAAGCGGTTCAGCTCTTAGAAAGGGTTTTCTTGGCCCATTAAAGGGATATTGTGCAGTACCTGGTAAGCAGAGACTGGAGACATGTAGGGAGCCATTGTGGGCTGCACAGTCATTATCCTGTTGGTGACTGGATAAGGAGAAGCATAGTACCTAGGAAACAAGACAGTATTTTACAACAAAGCTTGGGAATTATGAGGCTAGTAAAGTGTAAAATGAGGGCATGAACTGTTATAACCAGAGTGCAACTTACCCGTTCTGTATAGCTGCTGAGGAGGGGTCATAAGTGAGAGTCATTGCCCCCTAAATGACAAAACCATCAAAAAGGTAGAATTACATAACTGAATTATTAGTTCTTACTACTTTAGCGTAACAGTAAAACACCATGAAACCATAATTGGTGAAATTACCTTTTCATTTCAACGGTATGGCTCAACAGACCCATACAATATTCTTGATAGACTTGTTAGAAGAAGATTGATTCTCAGTAATAAAAACGAGGTGGCATACATGCAAGATAGATGACATTACGTACTAATCTGAGATCCGCTGTCTGTCCGTTGGGAACAAATCCGCCATGAGCATGTTTCTTCCTTTGACTGTCAGCAAACTTACACAGCAAGGGCTGAGAGGGTGCTGGGGAGGAGGGATGTGGAAAAAAAACAAAAACAAAAACCCTGACATGTTAACAATCACTCAACAATTATTAATCACCGCCTCTGCGGTTTTCATCTGTGGGAAAGTATCCAGAAAGGGGAAACTCTTCCCTACCCAGAGCTCCAGAAGCCGTCTTGATAAACTTCCCATTGAAGTGGGAGATGACTGCATTGCACTGCTCTGTTGTGTCCATCCTGATGGAGGAGAGGATGAAACAACAACAAAGACTCATCATCAAGTGACACAGAGATCATCTAAAGTGCAATCTTCTTTAACGCAGTGATGCTGGCATGACTGGAATAACTCGGATTCTCATTTTTGTGACCATTTACATTCTGTAGGGTTTATAGCCAACAACCGGCATAGATATGTGAAGTGAAACAGGAGGCAGTATAGGGTTATATGTCCAGTTATCGATGACTGCTTTGGGTTTTGCACTGTAACGCCAGATTCTGGAGGAACACAGACAACACAAACACAGCCTGTATGCTTCGTGTTTGCTGTTACTGACAGCAGTGTTATGCAAAAGCATGTCTTACACAGACAATGAGCCAAAACTGACTCTATTTAATAAGTCTGAGGGCATAACACAGGCTTGTTTGCTCTACATTGCAATACAATGGTACCTCAAGTGAGCTATTGTATTACACAATTTCAAAAGCAAACGGTAACAGTAACTAATGCACTGTTAATTCTATGTCTAATAAAGGAAGGCAGGTTACAGATTGCTGTGCTAGGACAGGAGCTGCACAGTGCCACTGCTACTTCATAACACAATTTATCATCATAGGTTTGCTGAAGGTTTATGTTGCACCTCCTTTAATACCGATCAAACAGGAAAAAAAAAGAAAAGAATGTTCTTTCTGTGAGTCTCTTGTGACAGACCTGGCAAAGCCCACACCTCGGCTGTTGCCGCTGTAGTCTCGTAGGATCCGCGTGGAGACGACCTGACCAAAGGGCTGCAGCATGTTCTCCAGCTCTTTCTCATCCACAGACAGAGGCAAGTTGGAAATGTACAGATTTGTGGGGTCCTGTTCCTGCTGCTGCTCGTGTTGAAGGAGACAGAAAAGAAGAAATGCACTGAATGCTTTAGCATCATGTCACGATAAAATGAAATCAACACTCACAAAGGCTGTGTTGTGCCATTTCTCTACTGACAAATGAATGCATGACACAAAAAAAATAAATTCTCTGCATGAAACTTGCCTGGGCGCAGATCAGCTAAAGTGTGGTTAATGGCTAGAGGAACATTTGGTTAAACAAGCTCTCCTGCACACACAGACACACACACACACACACACAGTGTTACACACTTCATCCGCACTGTGCAGCAGCTCAGCGCCTCCACAGTCTTCCCTAGAAACAGCAGGAGAGCGGCGTAGCCTAGCTACCGCAACACACAAACTGCGTTCAGCCATGTTTGCTCCAAACAAAGCAGCTACATGCAGGTCTCCAGTGAGCCACCGCACACCAGTGAATTCTAACCCGTGAATTCAATCACACGCAGCATGCATGTGAAAGGGAAAGGACTGGAAGACATTAGCCCACTATGAGAGAAATCACAGATATTATGCAAAAATATCCTTGTGTGCTTTACTTTCAATTGGCCACAGAGGCTCGAGAATGCCTCAACGCTTAAAGTGCTGCTATAACAGAGCACTGCTGCAGATATCACTATGTATAAATAGCAACTGCAAATACCCAATAGCAGTAAAGTTCCTGGTAAAATTCTGTATAGTGTATAAAGGAGAGTGGGTAATGTGTTGCACTGACAGGTTATTTGGCAGAGAGAGATGTGACATCTGGTTTCTACAGTGAAAGTAAATGGGGTCACGGGAAGAACAGCTTGTCAGCTGAGGTCATGTGACCGGTCTAATGTCATTCCCCAACACACAGTGGACACAAGCGTGCACGCATTAAAAAACAAAGGAAGAAAAAAAGCACAACCCCAAAGAGATGTTCGCAAGCATAACAAATATGCACAGACATGCACATGTGCATGTACCAAACTCACCTTGGCCATCTGGGCCTGTATGCCGCTGGTTTTCAGAGCATGGACTGCTTTTAAAGCAGCCGCTGGGCTGTCAAAGTCCACAAAGCCGTAACCTGGAGTTTGCGGAATAGTATTTACATCAGCAGTCAGTAAGTGATAACATCACTTACTGAGATATATATATATATATATATAAAAATTGCTTATTCTCGTAAATATAACAACATATTTTATACGTGAAAGACTCATAAAAGAAATCTTGTAATTGAGATGTGTGGGAAATCTTTTAAAGGAATTGCTTTGGGAAGTCTGCTTATTCATTTCCTTCCCCAGAGTTAGACCAGAAGCTCGATAACACTAAGATCCTTGAGCGGGTAAGCTCGGCTAAGAATAAACACTAAAAACTATACTTGGCTTTGTTGAAAGATAAAAAGATAACCGTCTACCAGGACCTCTTCAGAATGAGCAGGATATAATTAATGCATTGTATCCTGTTTATCTGGGCAAAACCTTTGGTTTTCAGCCACCTTTCTGTAGTATTGAAATCAAAATGCTGTACTATTCCTTTAAACCGGTATCTATATCTCACCCACATTCTATGCATGCCTTTTCACCATTTTCTAGAACATTCCAACAGTGTGAAAAAGATCTGTAAAAATGCAGTACAGTATGTTCTGCATTTTAAAATGAAGAAAGTTTTTCCGTATTTTTTTAAACAGTGCATCGAATCTTACCATCTGCTTTCTTATTATACAGCCAGCCATTATGCACTGTTTTCCATTTATTTCCATAAAGTGTAAAAATCTGTTAAATCTATTTGCGGAGACTCGGTGAAACCTCTGTGATACTTATCACACTTCTGTCTTCATAGTGTTAAAATGCAATGAAGATTTTACCAATCAATCTACACTTTCACCTGTGAAGCAAACCAACAGCACACGTTGTGTGACAAAATTATAAACCGGGCGTATTCACAGTTGGCTTTCAGGTCACGTGTTAGGTGGCTCTCTGTACTTAATTTAAAGTTGAACTGCTAGTATATTTTGGCAGCTAGAACTTATTGATCTCACTGACCTTTACACTTGTTGGTTGTCTTGTCCAGGATTGCCTTTGCAGACTGAATCTTTCCATACCTGTGTGCACAAAAGATGTAGACTACCGTTAAAGACAACGATGAATCAACAGCTGAGACTGTTCTCATTGTGTATTATTTAAGATTTCCAGATCCAGATTTCTCTGGATTTGTTTCCAGAGAAATCTCTACATGGAGAGCCTTCATTCAACTTGACAGTGAGGTTAAAGAAAAGAACAGTTCACAGGACGATTAAACCACACAATGTGTAACTGGTTTCAGTTTACATGTTTCAGGCTTTGCTTTATCTCTGACTTTCCACTCAAGTTGAACTCTGACACAAACTGTGAGCTTCTCTACCCGCACACCATACACACTGAATGCCTAGCTTACATCACCATTCAGACCTTGTTGCTATGAAAAGCACTTTCATTTCTGCTTTGTGCTGCCAAACACCACTGGGAACACGAACAAAACACAAGCAAACATGACACAAACAGCTGCTGTTGCTGCTGCGGGTTACATGAGTGGACGTCCTTTTCCATTTGCTTGTGAATCAGAAGGAAAAAGATTGGACAAAACAGCACTAATTATGGCAACCCACCACATTAACCACTTAGACTGGCACCACTTAGACTGGCAGGAGGCGTACAAGGCATTCTCACCAGTTGAATGAGAGTTTTGCAATCTGCTTTGCATACCAAAGATGAGCTGTGACTTTTCTATATGTTTCTTTATGGTGGTTGGCACCTTTTATGTGGACACTACGGTTAAACCAGCATGGTTTTTGCATGTCTGCATTGATTTTTTGGCATCAAACAGCAAACAGGCTTTTATTTTTAAGAGTGTAATATTTTACTTTAATTCCAGTAACTATTAAACCACTTATGCTATTTATTTAGCATATTCAGGAAAGGTCTCTTCTTATTGTGTAGGAAACCAGTTATACACAAAATAATAACAAGAAATCATAACTCACCTCTTTATATTGCATTCACACTTAAAATTATGCAATAACAGGCAGACTGCTAGGCTTTACTTAAACTAATTACTATCCAACGTTTTAAGAAGTGTGCTGAATATATGGTGAATGAAATATTCCTGTCACCAAGCACTGAGTAGCAAGAATCCAATCATCCTGTCCAAATATGATCACCTCTGGCTTCAAAAACTGAAGATTGTAAAAGCCGTAATATCAAAGCAGGAGTCCACACAACACAGGTGGTGTTTGATGGCTAACGGTATCTGTTAATCTGCTTAGCTTACTACAATGTGATGAATTGAAAATAAATATATATTCTGCCCAAAAGAACAAAATATGTCTCATGTCCACTCTTAAATTCTTACTAATTAGATTTAAAAACCTTAAATGTAACAATTTCATGCTGTGCTGGTACAGATGGTAGCTTTCTATTTTCTGTCCTCTGTCCTAAGACAAGCTGACCCTGACCATAGAAAGTATTGAGATTTTGCAGCCATGAGATACCAACTTATCTGCCATTTTTGGACGCGTGACAATCATGCTGTCAATTTAAAGTTAAGTGAATAAAACCCCAGATACACAGGCCTAAAGACCAGTCTGCGACCATCTGACAACCATCCATTTCTTGGGAAAAATGGATTCCCTGACCGATAGGCAAAACCTTTGTTGTGATGGTTTTTGGTTGCTAGCAGAATGCTGCAGTCGCCTGTAGTCTGCATGAACCCAGCTAGCTTGTCTACCAACACTGGCCAACTATTCTAAAAATGGCAGTAGAACTGTGAAAAATGCGCCTTTTAAAATGTCTTAGCTAGACGAACATTATTCTTTTCCAGTTTGTGCAGCACTTTTTCAGGGTTTACTACTTGGCTAGTAGGTAATAAGAGTGTTTGCAGACAAGCTACTGCTAGTGACCAAAGCAATTGCTAAAGGGTTTTTCTTGTAGTACAAGAAAGCAACTACTTACGAAATGGTTGGGGAATATAATTTTTTTCCCTTTTGATGTCCAATAAAGAGGACAGCTCTTGAACAATGGAGCTAGCTTCTAGTGGTGAAAAGTGAATCTAAGGTGGAATTACTTTGGATTGTCTTTAACAGCCAGCAGGGGACGACTCTTGTGGTTCCAAAATAAATTTGGGCTGGATAGAAACCCCTGGACTGGGACCTCGGTTTACATGTTCCTGATACATTTATGGTCACAATTGCTAGTTTCTGATTACACTGAACAAAAGATCAAATTAATGCTGCAAATTTAAACAGCAGGACGATCATGGCGAAAACACTCATGGGTCAATAGCAGGACTTCAGTAACCTGTGGATCAGTGATTCCCAGTGTGTGGGGCTTATCAACCTGGTGAACCACTGAAGTGCTGCTCGTGTACCATAACAAATCCCTTACATAAAAAAATTAAGAAATAATTTTCAATTTTGTGAGTTATTTTAGCGCAAACTACTTATATTTTGCCTTTTCTGGGCCATTATCTGAGCCTGAATTTGTCATATATTCTTTCAATTAAAATGTATTTTTAAAAAATTGCTGTCCTTTTTTAGAGCTACTATTCAACCCCTTTCATTTGCAAAGTACAATAAGTGACAAAACATTCGTTTGCACAGCCATACGCGTATATGAGCACGAACTCACTGGTGACAGAGTTTGATCAGGTCCAGGTCTGTCGTGGCAGGAGGCAGGCCACGGATGTAAAGGTTAGTTTTGCTGAGCTGCTCCAGGCCTGTGCTGCTGCTGCTGTTGCTGCTGGGACTGGACGGAGTCATGGGGTAGGACTGCACACAGGAAACACACTGTTAGGAAATGTACGGGAGCTGGATAATCTAATTTAAACTCAGGTCAAGCGTGATCACAAGAACATTTCATCAGTGTGACAAACACACAGGGAAAACGCTGTCTGCACTAGTCCATGCAGTACTCGTCTAACATCAATAAGCACTGCTCGCTAAAGAGCTGCATTTCAGTTGGTTTTCTACAGCGAGACACACCTGAGACCACAACAGGTCCGGTGGTAGCAGAAGAAGGACTCAAGGATTGGCCAACTTTGAGCTGCTTTTAGGTTATTTGCTTGTATGCCACTCACATTCATTTTAAAGAATAAGGCATGCTAAACATTTGGTGAGTTTGCAGTGATGCCGATCACAGAAAACTCAACAAATATTAACAAATGTTACTAATTAACAACCCAGTTGTGCATAGATGTACCTAAAATTAAGCAGTCAAACAAATTAAATTATTTAAAGGGACAGCAGCCTAAAAGCAGCTTTCCTACATCTTGAATATGTTCTTATAATAATTTTGTACGTTTCCATATTTCCATCGATCCATGCGTGTTCTTAACTCGCTTATCTGACTTAGGGTCACAGAGGAACTCCTTGAATTCTCTACCTTTTCTTAAACTGAGCAAAAGGTTTGCCCTTTAACCCCTTAGCTGTAAAAAGACAAATTTCCTGTGCATTCTTTTGCATTCTTATAGGTGGGCCTTTGGGTCTGACATCAGACAGACACTTCCATTTTTTTTCTTACTTGCACACCAAACCACACCACTGCCCTGCAAAGCATTTCCTTCCCTTTACTCATTCATTAAAATCCCCCCACCAGCCACCGCAACCCTCTCCAGTTCAGATCAAAGACAAAGCGTGGCAAAATAACACCATCTGTCCATAACCGAAATACAATCCACATTTTAGGAGCCAAAACTGTGCACATGGGCCAAACAAGGCCAACTATGGCTAAATGTTCATAGCAGGTATTATTCTTTCACACGTGAAGACCTGATTCCTGCCACAGGAACATCTGTTAGGTCTCTTATGTGTTCAAGTAGAGGCCTTACACTTTTGTTGGTGTGCAATTACAAAGCTTAACTTAAAGCTAAAAAAAAAAAAGCCCATCAAAGCTTCTCCATTAGAGGGCAGCTATGGTATATTTTACTCGCAGGGCCCTCTTATAGCTGATTAAACACCTACACTGAAGACTCATTCTTCCCCTGAAGGGATTCATAGGAGATCGGATTCACATCCCCGTCCTCAAAGTAACGTGCAGTACCTTCCGATGAATATATATTACAAGAAAATTGAACCCTCGCTCCACCTTATCTGAAGCAGGGTTCACATTTCCGTCAGCGGCAGAGGTTAAACACCCGCCGCCTCTCTCCTTCCATCTTCCATCTTCAGATGGAAAAGCACAGGGGCACGGCCTTCATTCAGACCAGCCTTTTCTCTTCACCTGAGAGGTCAAAAAGAAGAATGCAGGCAGGCAGGCTGCATAGTTCAGCCAGCACACTGACATTCATCCCAGCTCTCTCTCTCTCCCTCTCTGGATCCAACCAGAATGCATTAACCTATAAAATGGACTACAACCGTCATGCACATTGACCAGAGTTGGCCAGCAAGGTTATACGGACGTAATAATTAAAGTATCGGTTGTACAGCTACAGATCGGCTCGGATTTTATCTTTATTTTATTTAATATCTTCATCTTATTAGGTTTCCCCTTTTGACAAGTGCTGAGAGCAGATGATCTGTTTTCCAAACGGGATTTAATTATTACCAGAATGTGGCGTGAACGCATGTAAATCCTGAAATGGCTTTCCAATGTCATGTGCTATTATTCACCCCATTTTCTCCCCTCAAAGTGTGATTTAAAAAAAAAAAAGTAGGAAGAAAGGGGGAAAACCCAATGTGTGTATGTGTGTGTCTTTGGCCTACCTGCTTACGATTGGCTGTCTTCGGCGGGTTGCCCGTGTTTGCAAAGATCATCCTGGAGGTTATAGATGGATTTTACTTCCTCCCCCCCAGAAAAAAGGGGAAAAAAATCGCACCGATGAGAGCCACTATAGAGACGAAATCCGAGCGGGGTTCGGGAGCCTATCAAATACCCAGTCGCTTTATAACATCCGCATCATGAACGGCTGCTGGACACTTTAAAAAAGAACCCTCGGTCCCGCATAGGTACACTGTTACATCTATACAGTCAGATGCACACCAGGCGATGGACCAGCCCTCCGGTCCGGTTCATTGATCTACGACGTCCTGCTGCAGACCGCTCGGCAGTCCCACCTACTACAGACTAAACCATCTCCGCCTCTGCAGGGTGTTTGACATCAAATAAACTGCGTTGCCGCCACCTAAAAACTCGCAGCGGACGCTTGCTTATTGCGATAAACGGACGTGTGGTGTCTGAGGCTCGGTCGAAATTCAGACACAAAGCGGGTTTGGGTTTGATTTTGGGAAGCACAATCAGTTTGGGCTCAACCCTCGCCGCCTTTCATGTTGTCGTCGTCCGCACATACCAAGCATTCTTCACCCCCACCTCCTGAAACCACACACACAGAGTTGTACACACACACACACCCTCTTCCTCTTTGTACCCTCCCCCCCGCCTCCCCCCGACACACACACCCCGTCCAACATAGGCTAGTACATGTCACAGAAGTCAGGATGCAGTGATATATAAGCAGTCGCCACCGGCCCCGAGACGAGGTCACAGTTTCCCTGTAAACCGCACAATGTGGGACGGAGGCAAGAACACAGAGCAAATATTGAATTCAAAACACACAAAAACATGCTATTGATGTTTTCTGGAAGGCTTCGTGTACTTCATATCACATAATTATGAGTCAGAAGAAGAAATACCTTTTTTTTATTTAACGGCTTTACAAGATTGATGAGTTCATGGACCCTTCGTAAAAGTGCGTTTTAACACTAACCACTTCACTGAATGATGGGAAAACAGGAATTGTACCTTTCTAGATTCTCATCAGCGGCTTCACTGTGTATTGAAGACTTTATTTAAAGACCAAGCGCTTTAAAAGTCCCGTCCCCCGTCTCCTACCTTTAAGGGCGATAATTTTATTCTAAAAAACAACCAAACAAAACCAAACTATCTGTACAAAAATCTGAAATTTTGAGTAAAGAAATCTTTTATTTATTGGACAAATAAACTTCAGATCCACACAGCAAAACATTGGTCAATTTACAGTCATGGTAGCCTAGTTTGACATAAATAGTAAGTACAGTACCGCAAAATGACTACACTTACCACAGTGCATTGCCTTAATTGTGAAAGAAAACGAGTCCACAGCAGTGTGCAGGTCATCAGAATCTTTTCAGGACTAAGTTTGAGTTTTTCACCTGTGCAAACGATGCAGGAGATTTCAGTGTAGAAAAGAAACAAGCTGCTACAGAAAAGGAATAAATAATAATAATAATAATAATAATAATAATAATAATAATAATTAATAAACACATAAAAAACGGTATGATGCTCTTTTTTGGGGGGGGGGGGGTTCTAAAGAAGGAAACTGCTATATTTTCAGCATCGTTATTATTATTATTATTGTTAATATTATTATTATTATTATTATTATTATTATTATTATTATGAAGGGATAATAGGAAAATGATGGCATACAAACCTGGGCCCAAGCTGAACCATTACCAAGAGGTTTTCACACATGTAAAAAGGAGGAAATGGTATCAGAGACCACACACGTGTAGATGTGTGTTGTGGATTTGTTGGTTCTAACTTTTAGAGCACCCATTTTACCTTTTTTACTTTGATCTAATTACACTCATTTTGCATTCACATACAAATGTTTAAAGGCTCAAAGCAGTGCCTTCCTCTAGTAGTCATCCTGCTGCAAGTCCTGCTGGAGATTTATAAAGCAGCTCTAAATCCAAATCCCATCAGGGTGCAGGGAAGCTCTTAAAGCATCAAATTTCTCTTCCTTATTTCCTCTGCTGGTAGGATTAAGGTTTCATGCTGGTTTTGAGTTACAAGCCACTTCTGATGTGACTTGAAAAGTCCAATGATTCCTATCTGAACAGTCAGCTGCACCATTTGTTTTCATAAATGTGTTTGTACACTTGTTTTTATGAAGTTAGGCCATGTTTGATTAATAAATCCAATACATCCAATGTGCTGGTGACAGATGAGGTTTCACAAAAGATTCAAATGTAGATGAGTCAAATCTCTGTATTTTTTCATTCTACTTTTTTTTTTAAATTATTTCTTTTAAAAGCTCTTCTTTATAAATAATTAAAATATCCAGTAGGTCGATTGTTCCATAGAATTTAGTTTTAGTTTTCTGAATAATTCCTCCAGATGTTTTAAGAATTGCTTCTCTCATCATTTTTGGTAGAATAATGACTGTATGTATTAAAACTATAACAAAAAATAAGCCAGCAGAAAGCCCTGAAACAATGTACTTTTGAGGCAAAGTTAATAATGTACGCCCTACTAATTTAGCCCTGGATCCCAAAGGTCAGAGAAACCCATCATAAGGAAGCACATCCTGGTTAAGACTGCTGAGTGTATTGAACTGTGTTGATGTAGCGGGGGGGTCTGAGGGTTTGAAGAGGGAGGGGCTGAGGAATGTAGATGATTATCTGCTCTGTCCACATCCACCAAAGAATAAGGGAATTTGAAATACCCCCTTGGCGCCATCAGCGTGGCAGCTGACGCATCTAGCATCGCAGTGTATCTAGTAACGGTGCTGGGTGAGATCATACGAGTTGTTCTGTAGAACTGGCTCCTGTCTGGCTAGAATACAGGAAACAAACAGAAAAGCTTTTTCACAACTCCAGTAATGGTGTGGTTTGGCTCAGCGTTTGTGGCTCCTTTGGGAGCAATGAAATGCTTGATTGCTGAAAAAGGAGAAACCATGAAAACATCACAGCAGTCTTCAGCCTTTATATAAAAATACTATTTACTTTATACACTTCTGTTTTCCATAGAAATGATACTGATGTGAGGGCTAGAGGTGGCAACTGGTTAGATTCATTACATTTAGAAAATACATAAAAAAGGATTTGTTTGACCGCACTCACTGGATTGATCAACACTTAGAACAATGGGAACATCCAAGGATCTCAGTGAAGATCTAAGAAAGAGAATTCTAGAGTTACACAAGTTGGGGAGGTCTCTTGGGCCATTTGTAAACAGCTGCAGATTCCAGGATCATCAGTAATTTGGATGTGTCGCCACTTTGGCAAGTTCTGGAAAAAGAAACTTTCGCCCTCAGATGAGAGTAAATAGGTTAGGATGTTCAGAAACCAAGGCTCACGCCTTCTATTAACTGAAAACTGCTGGAAAACCAGCATCACTGTCCACAGCGAAGCTAGTTTTACATGGCCATGGGCTGAGAGAGAGAGAGAAGCCCCTGCTCCAAAAAATCTAAAGCAAGCAAAACGCCTTTTAGTCAGATGAGCTAAAGACTAAGCTATTTGGTCACAGTGGCAAGAGGTATGTAGGTACTGAGGAGTGAAGGTGAGGCTTTCAAACTAAAAAAATTGGACTGACTGTTAAGCATGGTGGTTGTAGCATCATACTCTGGGGCTGTTTTGCTGTCAGTGGTAAATTGCGCGAAGTGGATGGAAGAATAATAATGAAGGGCTACCTCCAAATTCTTCCACTTCACCTCAAATCAAATAGCATCAAAAACAGTGAGACAGTTCAAACTTGGTTACTGTTAGTTTGGGTTGACTTGATGGCTAGCAAAAGCATCTGGTCAAGGTGCTGCTTGTTGATAGACATTTTAATATAAGTTGATGTGTATGTTTATATCTGACCCTGTGTGACTTAGAGAAAATGCAAAATAAATTCAAGCCTGTACACCCAATTATTGTTTCTTGAGTCACTAAATGTGTAACCTGTACAATCATTCCTCCCTGGAAAACTATACAGCATACACAAGGGCCGAGTTGTCCAAAATTAACATGACAGTCATGTCCATGATGAGGGTATGTAAATGACTTCAAAATATGTATATATTGACAGAAAGAGCTGATATATAAGTACCCATAATTCAACTGGTTAGATTAACAGAAAAGTTAATACAAATAATAAATTATAAAGACTTTTGATATAAATCTGGTTCTTCTTCTTCTTCTTCTTCATCTTCATCATCATCTTCTTCATCTTCTTCTTCTTCTTCTTCTTCATCTCCTTCTTCTTCTTCTCCTTCTTGTCGAATTCTTTACATAATCGATTTGTTGTCCTAAATGACTTAACATACATAACTGTGGCTCCCTCTAGTGTCTCAATGTTGCAAATGCCAGTCGGGCTCCACCAATATACGTCATTAGTGCGACAGTTACTCTGTGGAAAAAAGACGATTCTGGCTGATTCATTGTAGCCGGGTGGTTTGTTTCGGCTACGACCAGAAAAACAAACTCTTCTGAATACCACACAGGTCTGACAGCAGGTAAGTGGAGGCAGACGTTCAACACAGCTCACAGAAGTCATTAAATCTGATGAAAGGGGATTACTGTAAACAATTTGTTAATCATTTTCTTGTACTAAACTGTGCAGGCTAAGTTAGCACAAACAGGCTAGCGCTAGCATCACGCTAATTGTGTCCGTGAACTGAGCTAAAAGCAGCTCAAAACAGTAAACAAGCTAAAACTATAGTCATCAGCCACAGGCATGTAATGATACATTAACTAAAACATACGAGCCGATAATGTTTTATCAGGCTTATGATGTTGCCGTATTGCGTTTGACGATTATGGGTGAATTAGCACATTGAAGCTAACTGTCATTAGCCTTTCTGTGGAATATGGATATTTGATTAATTAATGTAATTTTTTGTGTTACTGGAAGTGCAGTTTAGCTCATTTTCTGCACACAGAGCTTAGAAATAGTCCGAATTTTCTACTCGAGTTTACTCCTTAGGCCTACGTACACTGTGACTACACATAACGTCTAATCTCATAAAAACAAAATATAACCAAAATATTAAAATAAAATATGCATAAGGTACATTTATTTTAATGTTAGCAGTTAAATATAATTTTAAATAATGTATAGGGTGATCTTATTAATTTGGAGATTGTCCAAACAGAGTAAAATCTGATCTCTATAAGTTTTCTTTGAATAAATGTGGACTGAAGGAACTATTACATATAACTCTGTATCTTCACAAACCATGTCCTGATCACGAGTTTAACAAAACTTTTTTTTGTTTGTTTGTTTCTGTTTCACAGTTAACACATCTCAGTATGGACCGGCTGCTTAGGCTCGGAGGTGGAATGCCAGGTCTTGGCCAGGTAACCTAAAGATAACCAACAGTATAACTACATTACATAAAAAATACACTTGCTAAAGGGGAGTGCTTGTGTGCTGCAGGTTTTATCAGATGGTTACTGCCATTAAATAAATATTAACAGAAAGAAATATAATGCATATGCACATTGTATGCTCTAAAATTCTAACTGATACCTGGAATGTGGTGATTAGTAAAAGCTGCTGCTGTCTTACAAAAGCCTGAACTAATAAAAAAAACACTGCTCCTCAGGGCCCCC